CATGCTGAATTGGACGACGATGAGTTGGAGAAGGCGAAAGAAACAGCGGAGGAGTGGTCCAACAACTGTCCGCCTCCGGAGATACAAGCACAAGTAGCTCATAAGAAGGGTCCAGCATATATGGAACACTTTTCGAACGAGATGTGGAGGCAATGTGGGATGAGAGTTTTTGTGATGTCGGCTTGGAAGAATGAAAAGGGAGAGGTGCTGTTTGGGATGTGAGTACATTTATCCATTGACACAGATCTTTCATCTCAAAATATTCATGCAGGCATGATGATAACGAGGCCTTAGGAAATGGGGACAGCTTCATGAAGATGAAGGACTGGGAGGACATTGAGCCAGTGTGGCAGGAGTATGCGCAGGAACAGTTCGGTGAGTGTTTGAACCATGTATACCAGATTGAACATGTTGAGCATCACAATGATAGGCTCCGTGGCACGGGATGGAGGACATCAGGTCAAGGGAGGTTGAAAAAGAATTCGAAAACCAGCTTTCGAACTCGAAATGGACGGGGAGGGTATGCCACTCCTTCTGGACATCACGGACACGAAACTTGAGGAGAAGAAGGCCATAGTGAGGGCCTTTCTTACATCGCACTATCGTGAGTTTCTCGTCGCATCATCTGACAAATTGTTCAATGCATGGACACAGGGATATGTTCCGGGAAGGACAAGGCGGTTGTGCCATGGAGTGCCATTGTACAAAGTCAGGATGACTTCGTGGCCCGGACGTATCTTCCGGCGGATGTTGACTTGAAGGAGCCTTTGAAGCTGCAAAATTGGGACACGACTGCTGTTACGGTATATTCATTCTCTTCGCTTCTCTTTCGATACTGGACAATGGTACATGCATACGGCCCTTAACGAACGACCAATCACCTTCCAGACCCTCACTCATATCATCGCCAAGCTAACCTTCCGTACCAGTAACCATCACTACGTCTAGACCACTATCTCTTATCAAAGCGGGCTGTCCGCACCATGGTTACTATCTCTTATCTGTTATCTGTTATCTGTTATCACTTACCAAGCGGGCTGTCCGCCTTCTATCTTGATACGCACTTACGATCTCCGCTTGAACTCTCGCTATATAGTTACATAGCGTACCACATGTATTTCCTCACTTTAATCTACTGGGTTTTACCTGGAACAAGTCCTTTAGCAAGGTCTCCAACCTTGCTATCTAAGAACCACTATTCTAAGGAAGTCGCCGATACTTGCCTTAGCCAGAAACCTTTGACCTCTCACTCGAGAGAAGAACCACGTCTGTCTCGCCGAATCTCAGTCCACTCGGACTAAGACAGCTCGACATACCCCAGTCGTAACAAAAGATTAAAGTCTCAATTTCTAGACGCCGCCACCTGCGACGTCAGCAAGACACCACGACTTCGTTAACTCCTTTGATCGGAGCTTTGAACTTAGGCGCGCTACCGCCAATACCACCATTAAATACAATGGCGACCACCACCAAAGAATTTGAAATCAAGATCGGTACTCCCCCCGAATTCGACGGAGACCGCGATGAATCGCACAGGTTCATGCTGAACTGTAATGCGTATTTAGATATCAACGAGAAGATCTACGACAATGACAAGAAAAAAGTAATCTTTGCACTCTCGTTTATGACCAAGGGCAATGCTGCCGCTTGGAAAGAAGACTTCATGGAGACCGCCCAGAACGCCAAACTAAAGAATACCGCAGGAAATCTTATTGGGTACGGCTCCTGGGATGATTTCAAAGTCGCATTCAAGGAAGCCTTTGGAGCTATAGACCCCGCCGGGACGGCTATGGCCAAAGTACGAGCCCTTGAGATGAAAGGAGACCTCCACACATATATCTCCAACTATCGCCTCCTCGCTCATAAAGCAGGAATAACCGAGAACGTCACCAGGGTAGAATTCTTCCGCGAAGGTCTCGACGTAGGACTTCGCAACAATCTCTACCACACTGGAGAAAGTCTAGACGACTTTGAAACTGTCGTCGCAACGTGCATCAACCTAGATAACGCTTTCCAACGGTTGAGAGCCATTCAGAAACGAGAGAATCCTACGCACTACCAGCCTAGGAAAAAGAAGTACGGAGATCGTCACTTCACTCCCCGCAGAAGCGATGCTATGGAGATAGACCAGCTCTCCGAGTCTGAAGTGAAAAGACATCTCAAAGAGGGACGCTGCTTCAAGTGTCACCAAACGGGCCATCGCGCCAACGATACCACATTCCACCCTAGGGAAGATAAGAAGCAGAAGATGCCTATTCGAAGGAAGGTCGAGAAAGAAGAGAGCAGTGATGATGACGAAGAGGTAAACCGACGATTCGTGGAGATGGATTTTTAGGAAAGGAGTCTGCATCGATGTCAGTACCTCCTGTCCCAATACGACTTGTACAATCACTTGGAAATAAAAAGGAGCTTCGTGTCCCAGCCACTATTATTTCCACCAAGCGTAACAAAACCATTGAAACCTCTATGGTCATCGACTCCGGAGCAAGCGGAACCTTTATCAGCGAGGAATTCTGCAAACTCCACGGAATCAAGACCCACAAACTCTCGAAACCATTCCCCGTCATAACTGCAGACGGATCTGATGCAAGAGGAGGACTCATCTCTCGCTACTGCGTCCTTATTGTCAAAATTGACGGGAGAACCATGATAGGGAAGTTCAACATAACCAAACTATCGAAGAAGGATAAAATCCTGCTCGGATTCCCATGGTTAAAAGCACTGAACCCATCAATCGACTGGACAAACAAAGAACTATCTCTCGCGCCAAACGAACAATCGCTCGAGATCGAAAAGAAAATCGACCATCTTAGGAAACAGCGCAATCTACCACTACTGTTTCCCCGTCCCGTTCTCGCAGAAAGAGAACCGTCCCGCGAATGGAAGAATTCCAAGCTAAAGAAAAACCCCGTTTACCCACGAGCTTCTGTAGAAGAAATCACCGACGAAGAGCTTCCTCACCTCGCACCAGATCAAGATGAGCCGGATTACGACACTAAGGAAGACGTATGGTCAGAAAACTATGCCCCTCCAGTGGTCGATCCTTCTCTCTATCCCCTAAACGACGAAGACGTCCTGATCGAATACTCCCCTGACGGTTCTCAAGTTCGAGTAATCTCCGACGTCTCTTTTGATACTCCTCTCACCAGAGACGGTACATCAAAACAAGAACAAGGGTATTCGAAGACTAGCAACAAAGCTCAGGAATTCGCGGTCGCCGGAGAAAAGGAAAAAATGAAGAAAAGCTTTGCGGAACTCGTTCCATCTTACCTGCACACCTACGCTGATATTTTTGCAAAAGACAGCCTTAATAAGCTGCCACCAGAACGACCCGGTATCGATCATCGAATCGATCTGAAGCCTGGATTCATGCCCAGGACGTCCAAAATCTACCCGTTATCAGGAAAAGAAAGAGAAGCAGTAAAAACCTTTATCGCAGAAAACACCGCGAAGGGATTCATCGTACCCTCGAAATCCCCACAAGCCAGTGGATTTTTCTTTGTAGGAAAGAAAAGTGGAGAGTTACGCCCTTGTCAGGATTATCGGTACCTCAACGATTGGACCGTACGCAACCAATACCCACTCCCACTCCCCAAAACTCTCATAGAACGACTTTACAAAGCCAAACACTTCACAAAGATCGACATACGTTCCGGCTATAACAACATTAGAATCCACCCTGACGATAGATGGAAAGCTGCTTTTACGACCGAAGAAGGCCTGTTCGAGCCCACTGTGATGTTCTTCGGCTTAACCAACTCTCCTGCCACCTTCCAATCCTATATGAATAATCGCTTCCAAAACGAAATCAACGAAGGATGGATTGTCATATATATGGATGATCTACTCATCTTCTCATCCGACCTCGCAGAACATCGCGAACGTACATTGAGAGTATTGGAGATACTCCGTCGAGAACAACTATTCGTCAAACCGGAGAAATGTACTTTCGATGCAACTGAAGTGGAGTACCTTGGGATGATTATTCGACCTGGAGAAGTTGCTATGGAGCACGCCAAAGTTGACGGAATAAAAGACTGGCCTACCCCGACATCCGTAAGAGATGTCCGCTCTTTTCTCGGATTTTGCAACTTTTACAGGGCGTTTGTATCCCACTACTCTGATATTGCCCGTCCACTCATTAATCTCACTCGGAAAGACCAAGTGTTTGCATGGACGCCTGACGCTCAGACCTCGTTCGACAAGCTCAAGGAATGTTTCACTATGAAACCAGTCTTAAGGAACCCTGATCCCACACGCCAATTTGCCCTTGCAACTGATGCCTCTCTAGTAGCAACAGGGGCCGTACTCCTTCAGACGGATGAAAATGGCGTCTATCATCCCTGTGAATATATTTCCCAGTCTTTCAACCCTGCTGAACGCAATTATGAAATCTTCGATCGAGAACTGCTCGCTATTATCCGCGCTCTCAACGAATGGCGTCACTATCTCGAAGGAAACCCCCATCCCGTTATCGTCTTCACCGACCACCTGAACCTCCTGTATTTTTCAAAAGCGCAGAAACTCTCCAGACGACAAGCACGATGGCAGCTTGTATTATCCGTTTATGACCTTGAATTGCACCACGTTCCTGGAACCAAACTTGCGGCACCTGACGCGCTGTCTCGTCGTCCGGATCACGGTCTCGGGGAACACGATAATGAGGATCGCGTACTCCTCCCAGACTCTATGTTCATCCGGTTGATCGACGATGAACTCTCCACCGCCCTCGCCCAGAACTCCTTGGCTGACCCCATTTTCTCCACCGCCAGTGACGCGCTGGATGGGCTGTGCTTACCCCCTATGAAATCTGCACTCTCTGATTGGGTCATCACAGACGGAGTACTCTATTATAAGTCTCGTGCCTACGTCCCGCCCCTGCAACGCACAGCCATCCTACTGCGTCTTCATGACCATCCAACTGCCGGTCACCCAGGACGGTTTAAAACCGAGGAACTCGTGAAACGCGATTACTGGTGGCCTGGCATGGGCACTTTTATTCGCTCCTATGTTGCAGGATGCGCTCTCTGCCAACAAATGAAGGTCGATACTCACCCTGTCTCGCCTCCCCTTGTCCCAATCCCTTCTTCCGCTACTCGCCCCTTTTCCCAGGTCTCTGTTGACCTCGTCACCGACCTCCCTGTGTCCAACGGTTTTGACTCTCTCATGGTCGTGGTAGACCATGGCCTTACGAAGGGGGTGATTATTTCTCCCTGTAACAAGAACATTTCCTCCGAAGGAGTAGCCAAACTATTCTTTAAAAACGTATTCAAACGTTTCGGGCTCCACGAAAAGGTGATCTCGGATCGAGGCCCTCAGTTCATTTCTAGATTCTCTAGGGAATTAGCACGCCTCTTGGGATACCAGATCGCCGCCTCCACGGCATATCACCCTCAGACAGACGGACAAACCGAGCGGCTCAACCAAGAAATTGAGACATATCTCCGAATATACTGTAGGACTAACCCCTATGAGTGGTCAGACCATTTACCCCTCGCCGAATTTGTGCACAACCACCGAAGACACGAAGCAAGGAACGCATCACCGTTCTTCCTCATGATGGGATATGAACCTCGCGGTATTCCCCACGTACTACCATCATCGGACACCCCTGCCGCAGAAGAAAGGGTTCGCGCCCTCCAAAAGATCAGAGAAGAAGCCATCTCTTGTCACAATATTGCCATGCAACGAATGGCAGAAAGGACGCACGGAAAAAAGTATCGGCCATGGAAGATAGGAGATAAGGTCTGGCTATCCGCAGCTAACCTCATGACCACTCTCCCATCCAGGAAGCTTGCGCCCAAGCGACACGGACCATTCCCTATAACCGCAGTCTTATCGCCTATCACGTTCACCTTGAAGCTTCCGGAACAATGGAAGGTTCATCCCACGTTCCACGCTTCTGAACTATCCTCCTATCAGGAGACAGAGATTCACGGACCGAACTACGAAGAACCACCTCCAGATATAGTCAACCAGTCGGAAGAATACGAAGTCGAAGCAGTCCTGAGTCACAAGGGAACGGGTAAACGAAGACGCTACCTCGTATCCTGGAAAGGATACTCTTCTGGCTCTAACGAATGGATTCCAGCGGAGAACATGGAAAACGCCGAAGACCTACTCTCTGCCTATAAGAAGAGGCACAAGTTGAACTAGATCGACCAGTCCCCACTGTCATATAAACATGTCTTCTCAACAAACTGTCTCCCCCACTGAATCAAATGTCTCCTCCATCAGCCTCTACGAATCCCCCTTTGCCGACAACGTTGTCAGCATCGAAGACGACGTCATCGTCGAAACCACCATACTTTCCGTCGCCCACGCCCTCGAGATTGAAACTTATCTCAACAACCAGCCAGCAGTGCCAGCTGGAGTCGCTGCCACCTACATCCATATCATTAGAGCCACTCAACGCCTCGAAGAAGAATTTGCCCAGATTGAGAACGACGCCCTCCGACTCTCCTGCAACCACGTCCAGCGGCGCATTCGCTCGCTTACGCTTCAGTTATTCCCTCTTGGTTTTAGCACTATCTGCAGGGAAATTATACAGACTGTTGCTGATCGAAACTCCTTCCAAGTCGGCCGCCCGTTGCCTCCTATTACTCATAATCCCCCCGCTGTTCTACCTGATCCAACTTCGATTGGAGGGAACATTGCACCGATACCCATACCTATCCCGACTCACACGGAACTCCAAAGAAGAAACCTTCGCGGAGGAGCCGCCATTCACGGCGTAACCAAGAAAAAATCATCCAAAGGAAAAAAGCGCGAGGTCATCGACCTCACCGGAGAACCCCCCACCATCGCATCTTCTAGCATCGCTATTAAATCCCCCTCATTGAAACAAATAGTCGGTACTATCGCCGACGCCAACTTCATCTGCCGAGTCTGCAAGAAGCTTGGTCACAAGCACAAGAACTGCCCATTATATTACTGTCGCGTTTGCGGCGACACGAAACCCGGGCACTTCTCCATTTACTGCCCCTTCACCACCACCAAGATACTATTCCCGTTGGTTTATACCGACGAAGGCTTCTACGACGCGTTAGCCGCGTGGGAAGCAGAGAAAGATAGGAAAGAAGAAGAGGACCTTGCGCGCGCCGATAGGGAGTACTTGGCGCAGCCAGAAGAATTAGAATTCCACAATGCCGACGCCGACCCCATCTACTACGAGAACCAGGACAATTAGTGATGTCGATGCCGGTGACATCAACCATAACACGGGGGTAATGTTACGGTATATTCATTCTCTTCGCTTCTCTTTCGATACTGGACAATGGTACATGCATACGGCCCTTAACGAACGACCAATCACCTTCCAGACCCTCACTCATATCATCGCCAAGCTAACCTTCCGTACCAGTAACCATCACTACGTCTAGACCACTATCTCTTATCAAAGCGGGCTGTCCGCACCATGGTTACTATCTCTTATCTGTTATCTGTTATCTGTTATCACTTACCAAGCGGGCTGTCCGCCTTCTATCTTGATACGCACTTACGATCTCCGCTTGAACTCTCGCTATATAGTTACATAGCGTACCACATGTATTTCCTCACTTTAATCTACTGGGTTTTACCTGGAACAAGTCCTTTAGCAAGGTCTCCAACCTTGCTATCTAAGAACCACTATTCTAAGGAAGTCGCCGATACTTGCCTTAGCCAGAAACCTTTGACCTCTCACTCGAGAGAAGAACCACGTCTGTCTCGCCGAATCTCAGTCCACTCGGACTAAGACAGCTCGACATACCCCAGTCGTAACAACTGCCTTGCTCCATTTCTGGCATGCTCAGCAGGAAACAGGCGAAGGTCCCACATTTCTGTTCAAAGCATGGAAGAACAATGATGGGGACATGGTACCATCTGTCATATCTGGCAAGTCGCCCTCTCCTCAGACTTGTATAGTGAGAAAGCAGCAGAGGGTTACCATCCAAAGGCCTCGGGATTCGTCGACAGAAGCTGAGAGTGATAAGGAGAGTGCCACTAATCATACTGAGGATGATGTGGATGATGACTTGGCTGACGGGAGACATCCGCTGAAGAAACCCAGGACAGGAGGTCCTACACCCAAAGGGACGGCAGTCCCATGTGCAATTCCAAAGCCTCGCCCGGCCATGCCAGCCAAAAAAGGTGCATTACTGACATCACGAATGGGAGACCTCCTTGCTGGGTTAACTGAAGACGCAATCAGCGAGGTTAGAGATGATGTTGAAATGGAAGACAGTATCACGCCGCCGGCACAGAAAAGGAGGTGGGGCAAGAGAGTCACAGTTGAACCATCCACGAGGACGACCCGGAGTAAGTTGCAAATGCCAGTAGACAGTACACCTAGAGTAACCAGAGCACGGGGACACACTTAATGTAGATATATCTTCCTGCCCTCATGTGTAATGTCATATGTGCTATTGTGTATATGTCAAAGTACTAACCACCTAATCTTGAATCCCAAATCCCAAATCTTGAGTACCAAGGCCCGAGTACCGAACCCCGAGTACTGAACCCCGAACCCCAAGCACCGAGCACCGAGTACCGAGTACCAAGTACCGAGCACAGACAACCGGGCAGCAAGGACTGAGTAGGTGGAGTATACAAGTACCAAGGACTAAGTACTAAGTAGGTAAAGTATACAAGTACCAAGTACTAAGTACTGAGCAGGTAAAGTATACTGCACTGAACCTTGAGCACCGAGCACCAGGCACTGAGCACCGAGCACCGAGTACCAAGCACCGAGTACCGAGTACCGAGCACAGACAACCGGGCAGCGAGTACTGAGTAGGTAAAGTATACTGCAATGTGTCTACTATCAGACATTGATCGATATTTACATGTTACTTGAGTCCTCAAAGAACTCAATGAGGGTATCTAATACCTTCAGCATTTCGGAGGTTGACTCCCTTACCCTTTGCATCCTCCGGAGGTCCGCATCTGCTTTCCGCAGTTTGTCGCATGTTTCAGCCCATGCCATCCTGAATGGTCTGTCAGCCTCAAGAAGTTGTGCTACTGTAGGGGCAGGAAGATTTCCATGACGCTGTTGGTAATCACCCAGGCGATCTACAATTGTTTGAACTTGCAGAACATTAGCAAAGATAAATAATCAACTGTTGTATACATACTTTCAGCTTGATCATAAGATCCGATTGGCATGAACTCCTGAACCATGGCACGCAGTGCTTCATTGTTGAGTTCCGGCTCGGGCGATTGACGTTCGGGAGTTTCTGAATTAGCTTGGGAGATAACATGAATAAAAAACATGAAATGATATGAATATGCCTACAAGGTATGGGTGCCTCTGGTTCAGCCGGAGTAACCGGATGAGGTTCGGGAGTCGATTCATTCACTGGGGAAATGCCATGGAAAATGAACATGAGATGAAAAGAATAACCTCACCAGCCATAGGAAAATCGGGTACAGCCGGAGCATCATCAGACAAAATCAAGGTATCCTCCGGACCAAGATACAAGTCCGGGTCATCATACAGGGCCAGTCCATCCGCCAGCGCCGGATATAATGGATCTGGAAGTATGTGATGAATTTGCACATGTAGAATATGTACATTTGAATTGAGAAACATACCGGGAATCGCATTCAACAGATCCAAACCACCGGACGACCCAGAATCAGAGTCTAACTCATCATCCGGCCCAAGGTATATATCATCTAATGGATCTAAACCATGTCAGATCAATTCACTGAAATCAGCAAAAAAAAACATACCAAGGGACATCCGGGACTTGGAGGACTCATCCACATCCATTGAGGTGGATTCAGTGACCGGAGGGTCATGAAATCTGACCCCAGGTTGAGAGCTCATGATATCTGATGAGCTGATGAACTTATGAACTGATTGATAACAGATAACGTCTAAGTTCAACACATGGCCGGCGATTGCCGAAAGTTGAACCATGACCAAACAAAGACAAACAATCAATGATTTTCAACATCGTCCTTCAATTGTATTGTTTCTTTGAAACTTCATTCTAGTGATAACAGATTTCACCCTGCTTTCAACATTCTCACATCTGTCAACTCAATCCAAATGTCTACTCCAGTTCAATCTTCATTGGCCGACCTCAAGGCATCCACTGCTCAACTTGTAGGCATCATTGCTGGCGCTCGGCACATCCCGGCCGGCTCAGTGGACGTCCACCTTGCTCTGACAAAGCAGGTCACCACTCTTTTGGTAAGTTGCACTCATTAAATTAGTTTACCATTGATGTTTCTAATATCCGGGTAGGCTGACATCATCCAGGCCCATGAGAAAGGGGAATACATCCCTGGCATTGTGGCGTCCTGCTCTAAGGAGCTGATGAGGGTGCGTTCCATGACTCCCCAGGCATTGCCCAACTGGCACAGCATTGGCCATGATGACCCCCGGGTGGCTAGACATGCCTGGCACAAGCAAGTCCTGTGCCTGGGAGGCGTTGGGTGACAATTCCTGTAATCTCCCTGTTGTTCCTAATCCTTCCACTGGCCCACTGACTGTCAATCTTCCGTCTCCACCTGTCCCTTCCCCCACACCTGTCCCTTCCCCCACCCCTGTCATTCCCTCCCCTCCCGTCGTCACCGGCAATGTCACTGGACCTTCCAGCAAGACGACCTCCGAGTTCTGGGACAAAGGAAAAGGTAAGGCCGTTTCTGTTGACCTGGAGCCTGGAAGTCGGAGGGAGCAACAAGAGGAAGTCCCCGATAATTTCTGGACACTCCTCCCAACCTCCGAAGTCAGCAATGAAGGGTTGCAAGCGTGTCAAGTCAACTTGACTCCCCAAGTCAAAGCTGTTTGTGGAGTTGGAAGATGATGAAGACCCAATTGTTCAGGTATGTGTTCTGGCTCATTTGTGACATGCTCTCAATTTGTTGCAGCCGATTTCGCGTAGAGTGCCGGAGGTCGTTCTTCCCCAGCTCTCCACCATTGTTGTGAGGACGCCCCAGTTGCCTCGGTCACCTGGTTCCCCCAAGAAGCAATCATTTGGGCCTGCTTCGGTAAGTCTGATTTAGTCGTCCGGAACTCATATATATGCTCATGTGTCCACAGCTGACTGCCGGCAGGCGTCCGGAGGTCATGGTGAGTCTTTCGGACAGGTCCGGAACTCGCATATATCATTTTGACTCATGCCCATTGCATTAGGAATCTCCTGTCAGTCGTCCGGAGGCTCGGGTAAGTCTTACAAGCTCGCCCTGGAACTCACATGCATACTTACAATCTATCAGGCAACCTCCGGCAGTCATCCGGAAGTTGGGGAGTCCTCTGATGATACTTCCAGCGGTTCAGATGGTGACCCCCCGGCCAATACCACATTTGATATCACCATTCCCGGCCTGGTGAGTACTCCAATTAATTCCCCTAGTCCATCTACTAACGGATACCACAGAACAACCCCTGCCATTATTGCATCAAGGAGGATTGGCCCTGCGCGACCCTTTTGGACAAGAGGACCAGCCTCCCCTGCTTGTCTTGCATCCGCTGCTCCACCAAGAAGATCAAATGCAACCCTGCATCTCTGGGATCCCCGCCCAAACGGATCCGAGGGAAGTCTACCACCGGCCGGACGCGTTCCAAGACATCTGCCCCTGCTCCATCCACTGCTCCGTCTCCCTCCCTGTCAAGGGCCCGAACTCGTAGTCAATCTCGTGGCCCATCCCGAACTCCAGGCCATCCCTGCTGCAACTACACCCCAGGTGCAGTCACGTGGTCGCAGCAAGACCATCACTACCAAGAAGACACCTGCACCTGCACCTGCACCTGCACCTGCGCCAGCTTGTAAGTCACCCAAACTTTTGATGACCTGCTGACCTGATTTTTTACTTAGCTGTTCAGTCTTCGAGCTTCGCAGTGCCTCATGCAGCACTCGATGTTCCCATGCCGGATCTCCATTCCATGGCAATCGCGATTCGAGATGGTGCAGCTCGCATCGCTATTCTTGAGGCTCGGGTGCAGGAGCAGGATGCTAAGATTGATACCCTGCAATGCCTCCATGAGAGCCTCCGGCACACAGTGGTCGACCGGCACCCTTCATTTTCACTTCCGGACACACCAGCCGATGCAACAATCTTGCTTGATCAATCCGGTCCCCACCCGTCCATTTCACCCCTCCCCTCCGCACTTTCCAACCTCATTGATTTGGACATTTCAGTGATGCAACCCACACCCTTGACAGTTGAGGATGGATCTGCTATGGTAGGTCTCATGGTTGAGCCCACCCAAGTTCAGCCTGAGGGTCCACAATCCTCCGGCGAAATTGTGCTCCCGGATGAACCAGGCAACCTCTTGCCAGAATCCTCCGGCAATATTGTGGTCCCTAATGAACCAGGTAACCTCCTGCCAGAATATGATTCTTCTGATGAGGAGTTGGATGTTGAGGGGAAGCTTGATCTTCCTGGTGAGGAGGTTGAAATGGCTACATAATTGCTCAGTGATAGATGTACATAAATCTTTTTCAATGCATGTTACCTATGCCACAATTGAATAATTTAATGACCAGTCCCGATATCCAGAACTCAAAACTGTAGATTGAGGTAGATATCACTCTAAACCCTAACACCCAAATGTCAAATTTTCAGTGCCGAACCCCGAGTGCCGGGTGCTTGGTGCCGAGTCCTGAAACCCGGAACTCAGGATTTGCCATTTGAGACTAACGACATTTTTCAAACATGTTTATATCAACCTACGTATATCTATAAACATTTTACTAACCCCCAAACCCTGACATATATTTTTGTTGTGTCATACTGAGTTCCGAGTTCCGGGACCCCCGAAACCCGGCAGTCCACAATTTTGGGGTTCGGGGGTTGGTAAAATGTGTATGGATAGATGAAAGGTTGATTTAAACATTTTTGAAAAATGTCTCATATCAAATGTCAAGTCCCGAGTTTTGATTTCCGGGTTTCTGGAGTGCCGAGTCCCGAAACCCGGAGTCCTGAAACCCAGAATTCGAAACTCGGGACTTGACATTTGATATAAGACATCTTTCAAAAATGTTTAAATCAACCTTTTATTTATTCATAAACATTTTACCAACCCCCAAATCCCGAAATTGTGGACTGTCGGGTTTCAGGGTTCAGGGGTCCCGGAACTCGGAACTCAGTATGTGAGACAACAAAAATATATTTCAAACATGGGTAAGTCAATGTGTTTGTCAATCAACTCGATTGTAAATCAAATTTTATTGATCTCCCCAAATTTCCCAAGTTCCGAGTTCCGGGACCCCCAAACCCCCAAACCTGGCAGTCCACAATTTCAGGGTTTGGGGGTTGGTAAATCTCGGTTTGGGGTTTTGTACTGAAAATTTGACATTTATATTTTTGTGAGTGTTGTGCTTCTGGTGTCCGTGCTTAGAAATAGGATATGTTGCACACCAGGGTTCAGGTGTGGGGTTTTTCCACTTCAGTCCTCGATTATTGGTCAATGCCACACATGGTCGATTCATGTTTTTGTGCTTAGGGGTTTAGATTTGGTGGTCGATGGTAGGTATATGCACTCATAGTGTGCATGTATCCTACGTGTTTGATTGCTGGTGGCTACATCAGCTGTATGTCTTGATGAAATGTATCTAGGCTCACCCATATATGTACCCATCTATGTACAATTCCCCCACGTCAGCCCACCCATCTATGTATTATCCCCCATGTTGGCCCACCCATCTATATAATTATACCCCACCTCGGCCCACCTGTCTATGTAATAGATATTTTATCACACCCTCGGCCCACCCATCTATTTGATATCCCTTTTGTCAGCTTACCCGTATATGTAATACTTTCAACGTCGGCCCACCTGTATATGTAATACACCCCACATCAGCCCACCCATCTATGTAATATTCCCCTACCTCGGCCCACCCATATATGTAATACACCCCTGTCGGCCTGCCTGTCTATATAACAATATTTGCCTTACATCTCTCTTCAGCCCAGCTGTCTATAATATCCTACTCTACATATTACCCAGATGGGCCCACCCATATCCATGAATGATCATATTCCCCCGGCCCATCCGTCAACATCAAGGATATATATATCATTGGCATACATGGGCCCACCCGTCTCCATCGGAAATAATATGTGTCCCGGCCCATCCGTCATCATTGAGAATATACACAACATGGGCCCATAATCTGCTGGCCCGTCTCATACGGGATATTATGTAGGTCGGGTGGCCCGTATAATATGGAATTTGTCACTGAAGGGGCTCAATAGTCTGACAAGTTGCCTGAAGTGGTCAAGCAGCATGTTCATTTCGTATTTATACAAAGGATCCCCTCATCCTGTCGCTTCCGCCAGACTCTGCATGAATACCAAGTCCAGAACCATGTCAGTCAGTAACCCAACTGAGCTGGTCAGGCAGCATATTGCCAGAACACACTGCCAGTTTTGTGCACCCGGCGATATCATTCACAGCATTGTGCAACTTCGGCGATGATAAGGGGATTGACCCGCCATGCCTACAAATTGTTATATGAAATGAGACTGGCATGGCTGTTGTTGATTTGCATGAGCCATTGAACCGGCATCCTGTCAAAACATCCATTTCCAAAATCTCTATCCATATCTCAAAGAAACTATTACTACATGGAGCACATTATACATTATAGCTAACTACTCAGACCAGCATTTACTCCGTTGCCTCTTGTTTCAAATACTTGACCAGTTTTTCAGATGCCGTGATGGCATTAAGTACATCATCCCCTAATGAGGTGTCCATCCTCAGCATAGTGGCCACCACCATCTTTGCCTCTATAACCTTGTCTTCCAACATCTTTAAAAGATATTGGCCTTCTTCCCCAGCCTCGGCGCAGATGGTGGCTAGCTGCTGAGCAATCGGTGTTGACATTGCTTCAACCGATGTTGCCGGTGTGACCAAGGCGTCTCCTTCAAACTGCAACCGGCGTGTGTTAGTAGTCATCCATGCGAAGTAAATGACCTCACCAATTGCGCAAAATGCGCCGTGACACATTCCTTCACCTCATGGCAGTCCGGGTATGTTGTCAAAAACCTTTAATCCAGCTTGATGTTTGCAACACGTGTCCACCAAGCATGGCGATACTCGCAGATGAGGTGTCCCTTAGTCCATGGGCCGGATGGCGAAACCGGCAAACTGAGGAATGAGTCATACACCTCCATATAATCTGCCATCATGCTGAGCTGTTTCATTGACACCACGTCGACAACCTGACAGAGGTGCTTCGACAGTGGTGGGTTGATAGACAACCTGGCGCAAAATGCCATCCAAGGGAGTGTGTAGGCCTGGAAGTTCAATTGACCTCTGCACAAAATTGGACAACTTGAACTTACTTCTATGTCCCAATTGAGATATTCACCGATCGTCCGGCGATATTGTGAGCTTTGTTTTCTCAAGCTCAATGCGAATGATGAGCAGGCGGGATCCGGCATGCTCGAAAATTTGTGTGAAGTCTTTTAGGGTAAATTCTAAGTCTTGTTTCTTTGCAATGGAAGACATGGGTGGGAGAATAAATTTGGACCTCGAAATGTGTACAAAACAGGGTTTAAATAGATTAATGGGTCAGGATTTGAATTCTCACGGTGGGTATCTTTGATTGGCGCTTGGCCACATCTATTGAGATCCACAAAGTCATTGTGGAGCATGCTACTAATTGTGAACGGTCACCGACCATTAAGTGTAAACAGTGGTCCTTGTGGAGAAGGTCCCATCCAATTGAATGTACGGTATCTGTGGTGGACAATGAGAAAATGACATAATCAGCCGCCACTGTGGCCAAATGAAATTTGTATATATTATGTTGTGTTCTGTTTGTCGCCATTCCTCATCTCACTACCACCATGTCTCCAACCAACCGTATAGCCGCCGCTAACCAATCTTTCCGTGATCTCTCTGACAAGATCGAACACATCCTTGGGCAAGCCTGCCGGTTGCAGCTGGCAAATCCTAAGAACCTCTCACTCGCCACCACTATGGGGCAAGCTATAGTAAGTTTCTCTTTTGATTTGTGGCATGTCTCATTGTTCTTCAGACTGAAGTTGTCATGACCCATGGCACTTGGGTGACAGTATTGTCACCATTGATCTTGTCGGCTGCTGCCAAACTACAGGAGCACGTGGACGGCAACAACACTGGGATCAGTACCCCGCCTGTGTGGATGCAGATCCTAGGCGATGATCGCCGAATTCAAGGCCAGCCCCTCTTCCCCACCACCATCCATTACCAAGGAGAATCTTGGTCGCTGTCTCCTCAAGCTGGACCCTCCCAACCACGCCATGTCACTGCTGCCGTTCCTGCAGAATAGCGGGGTCGAGGAACTCAGCGCGGCAAACGTGCCCGGGGTTCAAGTGACCATAGCCGAAGCCGCCTGCCAATCTCAAAGAAGCAGCGCGGCAAGTCCAGGGCTATCATCACCACTGATGATGAGCTTGATGAGGATGAGGTGGCACCACCGCCTAATAAAGTAAGTTGTTAGCTTTTTAAACATGAGCTTCGATTGATGGTACCTTTAGCCAACAGTTGCAGACCCACTGGCCCGAAAATCCAGCCGTTATGTTGAAGTCACCAGCGAGGAAGAAATGGATGCCGATGAAGAGCCTGCCATCCAGGTCGCGCTGAAGATGAACGTCAAGACAGTAAGTTTTACCATATCATTCTTTCGATTTCTGACTTGCCATCGGTACAGATCGCTAATGTTTCAGGCACCGTCTTGACGGAAGATGAGTTTGCTGATACTTCGGCGCCCACATGGGCTCCTCACTGCAGCCAATGTGTGGCCCGCGATCTCATTTGCCATCAGGGCTTCAACAAGAATAACGGCCGGACATTGAAAGTTTGTGCGCTGTGCAGCCACCTCAAGATTCATTGCGGTGGAAAAGGCTCCAATGCTCCCCCAGCCAAAGGCAAGTCCTCGGCTGCCCGCCGGGCACATTCTCAGTCCCGGCAGCTGCCCTTCGCCGATGCAAGGTAAGATAAGATATTGTCTGAAGGGCCAAACACATACTAACTCCAAGTCTAGAAGATCCGGCTCCAGAGGCTGGCCTGTTGGTTGAGGAAGAGCCGGCGGGTCCTGCAACTACCGGTGGTTCCCAATCCTGAGCTGTCTCAAACACAGGGACGATCCTGAGGCCAGCCGGCCCATCATCCATCCTCCCGCCATCCTGTGTTGCTCATGAGCAGGAGATGCAAGAGCTGAAGGTGGAAGTCGCCATGCTTCATATGACCGTCGAGGCTCTGATGGTGCAGGTGGTGGCAGGCAACCAGCAGCTACAAGCTGCCTATATGCGCTTGAATGCGCAGGATATCCGCACTGATCTGCTCACTGGCCAGATCACCCACATTCACCACCTCATCGATCCACTTTCCTTGGTCCCCCCCACAGATCTCGCCGGTGATGGGTCTGATGACTTGGCTGCTGGTCCAGCCAATGACATAGAGGATTCGGCATGCTTGCCAGTCGCTATAAAGACTCCTGAGGCTGAGGAATCTCATGCTTCTGGGGAGCCGGAAATCTAATTGTATAATACATGTTGTGCCATGTAGATATGTGTCCATTTTTGTCATGCAATGTACCATATATACCTACTGTAGTTTAGTGTAAATAACAATTGTTTGTGTCCCTTGTAAATACAACTGTGATCTATATGGAACCATGCTTGCTTCACCGGCATTGTGAGTGGCCATGCATATCATGCCGGCCAGATTAGCCTGACAGCAGCATTGTCATTTCTCGCCTGTTCAATTATGCTTGGCTGCCATGTTTCATTGGCATTGGGAGTAGCCGTGCATGTGCTGCCAGTGAGGCCAGCCGACAGCAGCATGTTCATTTCTCGCCTGTTGAATTATGCTTGGTTGCTGTGTTTCATCGGCATTGTGAGTAGCCGTGTATGACCTGCCGGCGAGATCAGCTGACAGCAGCATTTTCATTCCTCACCTGTTCAATTATGCTTGGCTGCCACGTACACCCAGATGCAATGAAAATTAAGCATGATATCACCGCTATTCTGTTAGATTTACTGTCACATTCACCGGCAACATGGGTTCGATTTCAGGGAATTGTATCTCTACTCATTAGCAGGCCATGGTTACACGTCTCCTCATCATTTTCGGGATATAGTATGACATGGGCCCACCCGCATCTGCTTTGTACCCCGCATAGGCTGACTCTATCGATTCAGCGCCCATCAGCCCACTCATGATACCATAATACATGGCCTGGGCCCACCTGTATGCAGGGTGGCATTTGTCTGAGCCCGTGCGTATGAATGGATTTGGAGCAGGCCCACCCGTGGGCGACAGCACATCCACCGGGCCAACCTCTAGTGTCCAAGCGATACACCAGGCCCGTCCGCCTATCCTGCTGATTGAGATCAGGCCCAGCTCATGTAATAGATTACCGGCGGGCCCACACTTCAGCAACATTATATATTGGCCTGGCCCCCGTATCATCTCAGCAGTTGCCCGGGCCCACTCGCCTGTCCAGGTGACTGCCATTGAGCCCAGCTGATCTGTCACATCACAGGTGGGCCCACCTGTGGGCATATTGACAGTGACACGGCCAGCCCTACAAACCATACAACTGGCCCAGGCCCACCTGCCCATGTCAAGGAAGAGGAATGGGCCCAACCAACGTATCGGTGGATGGCAGGCCCACGCTACATGGACATACATCCTGCGGGCTCGGCCATTGCGATGTGACACGCCGTGGGCCCAACCGATCATTAGGACAATGATGTGGGCCCACTCATATGAAAGGACAGCACATCAGGAGCACCCACCGGACAATATCGCTGATGCACAGTCACATTCTCAATAAGTCGCCAGTTGTTAATTGTGATCTAGATTCACACCACTGTTCGCCTGGTTGACAAATGCCCAATCGCCGCCGGTTGTGCTCAATCTAATTTTAGCAGTAATCACTGCTCGCCATTTTTAATGAATTTATAATATTTGGCGCCAGTGTAATTCATCGCCGGTTGCAATGATGATAATTGCACCGGATTTGACATGACATTCTCGCCTGCCGGTGATGACATGCATGATCCTGCCGGTTGCACATTTTATTTGCATTCACCAGCACAACTTATGTTGTTTGCAGGTCTGTATTGCACTGGTGATCCTGTAGACAGACCTGAAATACATGGGCCCACTCGAAACTCCGGACATACCTTTCCAGTGTACTATGGGCCCACCTCTAAATACAATGTATGTGCATATAGACTCATGTGGGCCCACCAACATTTCAAAGAATATGTGCAGTAGGCCTACTCATAATCATGGGTTACATGGCATACACAGGCCCACCCAAACACAATGACTTACCATGATAAGGTGGGCCCATGGTGGGCTGGCCCATGTCACTTGGAAGAAATGTCAAGGTGGGCTGACCATGTTCACAGGGTTAGGTCACTGAAGGGGCTCGGTTTATATACTACTGAGGACTTAACGGAGAACCAGTCAGTGCAGTCTGAAGCTATGCGAGGCTGTGGACGGAGTGTATAGAAAAGTCAAACACTAGTCTATTGGAAAATAGTAAATGAAGACGGAAATGAGAACATAGGAAAATAAAGGCGGAAATAAAATGAGGTACGGAAAATGAGCATAGTCTAACTGGAGAAGGAATGTACAAAGGGATAAGGCATGGAAGATAGACGCGGGTTGGATCCGGATGATAGATAGAAGTCGGCCAGATCCGGAAGTCCAGAAATGATGTGTGTGGTAGGTCAGGGTCCGGAACATGGGATATGACAGTATCCCCCTCTTAGGGCCGAGCCCACAAGGCTTCTGATTCGGAAGTCCAGTCTGGAGTTTGATGAATGTGAGATGATGGGCGGAGCTTGTAAAAATAGAACTGGACATATAAGTAGGCCGGGGCGCCCATGAGACGTCTAAAACTTTCCCCTTAACTCCTATTACTGCTTAACATGTCTAACTCCACTTCCGGCAACAAGAAATCTGCTCAGCAGCTCCTTCAAGAGAGACAAGCGGAAATAGCGGCCGAAATGGCGCGACTCGAGGCGGACGCTCGGAGAGAGGCGGAGGAAGAGGAACAGAAGTGTAAGGAGGCGGAAGAGGAACAGAAGTGGAAAGATATTGAGGAGACACGCAAGAGGTTGGTAGGATGCGAGTGTGAGTGTATGGCAAAGGCTTTGGCGGATGCTGCGTCGGAGGTAAGTTTACACGCAGTGTTTGTGATTTCTGGAGGTTTATGATGTTAGTCCTCCGGTCCGGCGGATCCGGAGGTTGCATGTGAGATGTGCGTCCTTAGGCGCAAGACTTGCACCTGGGCAGTAGCATCTAAGACGCCTAGAGTGAGTTTCTGTTTTGTCTGGATCCGGAGGTTATTGATTTTTCCGAAAGATCTGGACCTGTGATCAATGCCACGCGTCCAAGGAAAAGTGCGTCGGCAGAAATCCGCCTGTCAAAGCGCTGGCCGGCAAAAACAAAGGCAAAGGCAAGAAACACGTGCGTCCGGAAGGATCTCTGTCCCCCAAGGGCAAGGGCAAGAGACGTCAGCAGAGTCCGGAGGACATCAATGAAGACGTGGAAATAGTTTCCAATCCCCGGACAGTCATTGGGGAGGATCAAGACTGGGCAGAGTATGATGACCAGGCCTGGGTCACAGCCGCCAACAACATTGTGGCGGAACTGGCCCAGACCAACAGGCTGATGGAGAGAGGTGTTGCAGCAGCAGAAGGAAGTAGGGCTGCGATGGACCGGGTGAGTGAAACCATGCTCCAGTTTATGGAGGAGCAGAGGGAGTTCCAGAACCTCTTCTTAGAGGGTCTGAGGGGCGGATTCCAGATGAATGTGGAGGGAACTCCGGAGGAGAAAAATGCTGAGGGGGCAGAAAAGGAGGCTGGTGGATCCGGCGGAGACATGGAGATGGACTCTTAGGTCGTCGGATCCGAAGTCCAGATGTCGGACGCCTAAATAATGTACATATATGCATGTCTTGTCTACTCTTTGTTAGCAGTTGGTCCCGGCTTATCTGGATATGCCGAGTGGAAATCCGATAGAAGTTCTGGCGCATTTCTGAGTTCAGTTGCAAGTATCCAGGAAGTTTCTTCGTCTGTTCCCTCATATCTGGCCCAACATACTAAGTATAGTAGTTGGCAGTGACGTCTCCGGCGGTCAATCTTCGAGTCCAGAACTTCGGAGATTTCGTATTCTGGTTCTCCATCGACTAATACTGGAGGCGGAGGGAATTGGATGCGATTAGGAATGGTGTTTGGAGTTGCGGGTTCTAACTGAGAGACATGGAATATGGGGTGCATGGATCGCATAGTGTCCGGAAGATGGATTGTGAAGGAATGAGTGCCAGGACAAGCAATGATGTTGAATGATCTGAGATTCTTTTCCGAGAGCTTTTTTGATGGTCAGGTCGAGCGGAAGTATTTTGCTTTGACAAAGACTTGATCTCCGACTTTGAAGTCCAGAGCAGGTTTTCGTCTAGCATCCCCAGGTCCCTGATATCGCTCTTGGGCATGGGACATTTCTTCTCAGAGGAATTGATGAAGCTCGTCTAGATCTATAGCATAATCCTGGGCATGGGCGGAGGAGAGATCACGCTCTGGATGTATGGAAATGTTTGGGTGATAACCCTTATTGGTGAAGAATGGTGAGACTCCGGTGGTAGCACTTGGAGCATTGTTGTAAGCAAACTCGGCCAAGGGTAACAATTCCAACCAATTATCCTGCTGATAGTTGCAGTAGATCCGGAGGTATTGTTCTAGGGTTTGGTTAGCTCGCTCGGTTTGTCCGTCGCCTTCCGGATGATATCTGGAAGTGAAGTGGAAGATCATGTCAAGTGCTTTTCCGAGCGAACGGAAGAAGTGAGAATGGTGTCATAGGTTGGGATGAATATGGATTGCTTGGATAGTCAATCTATGACTACCAGGATGGTGGTGAAGCTGGAGGAATCGGGGAGTTGTTCAATGAAGTCCATCGATATAGAATTCCACAGTTTCTCGGGGATGGGGAGTTGTTTCAACAATCCGTATGGTTTGTGTCTCGGAACTTTGGCTCGGGCGCAGGTTGTGCAGGACTTAACATAGTCCTTGACATATGCACAGATTCCGGGCCAAGTATATTCTCAATGGATGATTTCCAGGGTCCGGTTCTGACTGAAATGTCTGGATAGGGGGTGGTCATGTGTGTTCCGGAGTACTTGGAGATGGAGGTCATTGGATTCTGGAACATATATATGGTTGTCACAACGGAGGAAACCACTCTCATCCATTGTCCATCTCAGGTCCGACGGATCCGGAAGATGACTGGAAGCGATAGGGTTATTGGGGAGGGCAGACAGAATGTCCTTATGAAGTTGCTAGACATCCATTAGTACAGCTGCCTGGAGCACCGGTATTGCTAGATGTAATGCCTGGAGGGATGAAGCGAGCTGTTCTGTGGTAAATATCGGCCGGAGGTTGTGTGGATTAACTTGAGCATAGTCCTTATCCCCCTCTTTGGGGTAGACGTCCCAATGTCTAGTTAGGCAGTCAGGCTTTGCTCCGAGTTTTCCGGGTTGGAACCAGATAACGAGGTTAAACTGATGAAGGTATTCCAACCAGCGGGCTTGTCGGCAGGTGAGGAGTTTTGTGGTAGTGAAGTACTCAAGGTTTTTGTGGTCTGTGACAACATCTATCGGCTCGGCAGAGCCTTCAAGGTAGTGTCGCCAGGACCGCAAAGCTTCATAGATAGCTAAAAGTTCCTTACCATGAGTGTCATAATTGAGTTCCGGAGCTGAAAGGGTTCGGGAGTAAAAGGAAACCAGGCAGAGCTCCTGGTCCGGACATACAATAGAAAGTATTCCAGTGATAGCATAATCAGAAGCATCCGTCTCAACGACGATAGGAACATCCAGCATCCAGTGCATAAGCACTGGAGCGGTAGTAAAGGCTTTCTTGAGAGTTTTGAAGAATTTCTGGCAATCCTCGGAGAAATTTCAGGGAGCATCCTTGCGAGTGAGCCGCGTAAGCAGAACTACAATATCCGAGTAGTTAAAAATGAAGTGACAATAGAAATTGGCAAACCTGAGGAATGATTGAATATCCTTAACTTTCTGGGGTTCCGGCCAGTCACAGATAGTCTGGACTTTGTCCGAAGACATGGTAAGACTGGCTGGAGATAGGAGGTAGCCGAGGTATTCTACAGAGTCGGAATGGAATTCGCACTTCTCCGGTTTAGCATATAGCTGATGCTTCCAGAGGCGTCAGAGGACTTCAAGGACATGTTGTTTATGGGATGCAAGGTCTGCGGAATAAATGAGGATGTCATTGAGGTACACAATAACACAGATGTCAAGTATATCAGCGAAGATGGTATTGACAAAGTGCTGGAAAGCCACTGGAGCATTGGTGAGACCCTCAGGCATAACCAACCATTCATACGAGCCATAGCGCGTTCGGAAAGCAGTTTTCCACTCATCTCCTTCTGCCATCCGGACTAGATGGTAAGCGGACCAGAGGTCGATTTTAGTGTAAACTTTAGCGCGGCTCGGAGAATCAAGAAGGTCGGAAATGAGGGGAAGCGGGTAGCGGGTAGCGGTCTTTCTTTGTGATTTTATTGAGGCCTCGGAAATCTACACAGAGATGTAGGGAGCCATCCTTCTTTTTGATGAACAGGACAGGGGCTCCGTGCGGAGAAGATGAGGAACAGAGAAGTCCGGTCGCAATATTCTCATCAAGGAATTTGCAAAGAGCTACAAGCTTGACTGGAGAAAGGGAATAGATGGTGCCAAGGGGCGGAGCCGCTCCTTCTTCCAAATTGATCTTAAGATCATAGGGGCGATGGGGAGGGAGCTGTCCGGCTTTGCCTTTATCAAAGACATCCGCGTACTTGTGATATTCTGAAGGGATTCCGGATAGATTTGGAGGTTCAGAGGAGAGTGTAGCAGAGCGGAGATTGACACTGGTGGGTCGGATGAAAATACTGAACTGGACCGATCCCTCTAATTTGCAGGCCCGGCAAAAGGCAACTGCATTGATCAGGGAAATATTTGGAATGGCGCTATCAGTGGAGGGACTCGGCAGGGTTGTGGAAGGGGTTTCTGCCAGAGCCAGTGGAAATGAGGTCAGAGGGGGTGAAGGCACTCCATGAGGAATCAGACGGAAATTGATGCTGCCCTTTACCCAGTCAATCAATGGATTGTGTCGGGTGAGCCAGCTATATCCTAGAACGATGGAACAGGATGAGTCCAACGGAGTAACATAAAATGTTTCAGAGGTAACCACGCTGGTCGGAAACCGGATTGGTAAATCTACTGCCTCGGTAATCGTGGCATTAGAAGTACCATCAAACAGATGGAGCGGGAGCGGAGAGATTGCATAAGTAGGAATGTTATTTTCTTGGATTAGTTTGGTTTCTACAAAACAATGGGAAGAACCACAATCTACAAGAGCTGGGAATGGAGAGATATCGGGAAAGGTAGAGATGGAAACATTTGGCATAAGTGAGTTTGGATCGGAAAGGGAAACAGCATTGAGATGTAGCTCCATTGCTCGGGTTGAGTCAACGCAACCCTCATCCTGTGCAGAGTCAGGAGGGTTGCGGACTAATTTTTTGTCTCTTCCGAGACCTCCAGTTTGGCTTCCAGAGTCACCGTGCTAGCACAACCTTTGGCCACATGGGAAGTGGACTTTAGGCAGTCCTGGGCAGTGTGACCGGGTCTGCCGCAGAAGAGGCAGAGCTTCTTTTCCATGCACCTCTGGCGCTCCTCGGAGGTGAGTTTACCATCTTTTCCGAGCTTGGACATCAAGTCCAGAAGTTTGGCGGAGGAGGAAGCCAAAGCGGTTCCGGATTTTCCGCCAGAGTATTCTTTCAGGTCAGAGGTGGAAGCTGACTGCTTAGCAGGAGGGGTGGATGTAGAGGGTTTGGTCTCATGGGAGACTTCTCCCTTGCGTTCCCAGTATCGAGCGTCGATAGTGTGGGCGAGAGTTTTGTATTGGGAAAGCGTAGTAGGTTTCCCTTGACGACTGATTTCGTTCTTGATGTGAGCCGGAAGTCTGTTGTAGAACTGACAGCGCAAAGCTCCATCGCCCCAACCTCGGACTCGGGAAGCTAGCCATTGGAACTCTACAACATACTTGTTGATGCGCTGTCCATCACGCATATAGAGCTATTCCAGCTGCATTTCCACATCTCCGACCGGGTCATGAGGTCCAAAGTTAGTTTGGAGTTCTAACATGAACTTGGAGTAGTCATCCATCCAGTCCAGACGATCTGCGAGATCATCCGAAAGGAGGTCCAGCTCAAACCATTCAAGGGCCATGCCCTTGAGGTATGATTGCGCGAAGTTGACCTTAGTTCGGCCGGTATGGAAAGATTTTGGCTTAGCTTGGAAGTTAAGCTCACATTGCACAAAGAACGCCCGGAGCTTCTGGGGCTCAGTGCCATCGAAGGTATCTGGTTCTCAGACTTTGACTTTGGAGTCACTGGATGAGGAAGATTGGCGGTTGTTACACGCCAGGTTATTGATAGCTTGGGATAGACGGAGGAAGACCAGGTCCTGCAGACCTAGACCTTCGTTTTCATTGTCGGTCGGGTCTTCTGGAGGATCATCATCCGGATCACCCCCACCATCTCCGGGCAGGTTACCGCCTAGAGGATACTCATCGTCGGAATCATTGTGCAGAAGATTTCCGGCGGGTGTGGGTGTAGGGGTAGTCAGATGTGGGCGGTTCATGAGGTGGGAGATGCTGGAGGCAGCACCTTGCGCACTGGCGCGGCACTGAGAGAAACTGAGGAAGGCATCGACTATGGGAGTAGAGTCCCATCGGGCGGTTACTAAACCCGCCACGTTGAGAATGGTCTGCACCCATGTAGGTGCCATGAAAACAGATGTAAGTATACTCAGTAAGGTGTGAGTTCGAATATACTGTTAAGAATGTGCTCAAGGGTCGGATCCGAAGGGCTTGGCTTCAGCTCGTGTGCTGCGCCCCTTACCCAAGTATGTGCCCCTAACTTCCAAGGGCTGTTGGACAATGTCCGAAGGTTGTCGGACGAGTCCAGAGTCTGATGTCCAATGCGCGGGAATTCCGGCGGACATTCGGGAACGAGGGATAAGACTAATCTGGACGATGTCCGAACTAGAAAGGAAACAGCGGAGGACTACCAGAGGTAGAGGCAGAGGTGAGAAGTCTATAGGAGTCGATCCTAAGACTAGCGGAGGACAATGAGAGGAGAAACTCAAGTCAGACGGAGGAGGGAATGAGCAGAGTCTAAGATAATATTCAAACTAAGGAAGTACAAAGATTCTACAGGGTTTATATACTACTGAGGACTTAACGGAGAATCAGTCAGTGCAGTCTGAAGCTATGCGAGGCTGTGGACGGAGTGTATAGAAAAGTCAAACACTAGTCTATTGGAAAATAGTAAATGAAGATGGAAATGAGAACATAGGAAAATAAAGGCGGAAATAAAATGAGGTACGGAAAATGAGCATAGTCTAACTGGAGAAGGAACGTACAAAGGGATAAGGCATGGAAGATAGACGCGGGTTGGATCCGGATGATAGATAGAAGTCGGCCGGATCTGGAAGTCCAGAAATGATGTGTGTGGTAGGTCCGGATCCGGAATGCAGGATATGACATTACCATGCTTCTTGGCCCAGGCGACCACGCTCCACGAGACCTTAATATATTGGTCAAACAGTGCTATTTCAGCCTCATTGATGCCTTCTTCCGCATCACACTCTCATATGAGTGGGTCGATCACGATGTTGCACCTCATGACGCCTTTGGGGGTGCATTAGAACAATTCGTGCATTACAGGCAGGGAAGCACCATCATCACTGTGTCCTCTGTCAGTGACACTTCCTTGTTTAAAGCGGTGCTGGCTGCTCCCTCCACTGCAGACATGGTTTTCATGACCCCCGGCAAGCTGTGCACATTTTATCCTACACTCACCCTCGAAAATAACGCTATCTTGTCGTCCACAGGCTTCCTCGTTGAGCCTGAGATGAGCATCGGCAGTGTCTGGAGCCAATGCTTTCACGTGTATGATGATGCACGTTTCCTCACCTCAGAGTGTGCTCCAACTTGCCCTAGCCTCTGGCAAAATGTGCGAGATGATGGATCATCTCTCATTGTCCAGTGGGACCACCAATATCCACTCAGGAACCTCTTGCGCAAATCCCACACTATTTGGAGGCTCACTGAGGCTTGTGTGAATGCACATTGCAAATATTGCTCAATTCCTGGCATGTACAGGCTGTCGCTGCCACCAAACTGCATGGCCTCTGATCTGAACACAGTCGCAGATCTCACCTTCCTCATAGGCAGGCACTCATATGTAAGTGGCCCCCTGTTTCATCTGTATCAGACACTGCATGATACCAATCTTGCTTACACCAAAAATCCCCTGTAATAGTCAAGGCTTTGTTGTATGCCATGGCTGTGATGTCCCCACATGTTGTGCCTGTGCATTTGCAAGAGGGGAGAGAGCACATGGAATGCATTGACGATCTTGAAGTCAATTTCTGGGTCAATACTTTGGCCCGAAACAAATTTGTCATGCCGATTTCACGTTATAGGAAAACATTTCATGGCATCCCCGACTACCCGACATTGCCCTTGCCTTATGCATACACCATTTATCACGAGGACCCACAAAGCTTGCCTCCCCCAAATGCTCTTATGCGCGATCTGTTCTCGCGTGCAGGATTGGATCATGGGATCAAAGGCAATGTGCTGGTCATCAAACATCCCAAGCAAGACAGGAACAAGGTTCTGGATGTGACTGAAGGGGACTTACCACTTATTCACATGTTGCTGGATGGGTATGCAGCATTTTCCATCATTGCAGGCGATGCACTGACAGTCGACACACAGGGGTGGGCTGAGCAAAACACTTTGGAATCAGTTTAAGTAGCGAGGTAGGGAGGAATGGATAAGTGCCTGCCTTGGATTTCTTGTTTGTACTGTATCTCTATGTAATAACATTGTGCTTGACATGTGTGTCTTGTGGCTGGAGTATCGAGGGAACATGCCATTTGTTCACTCTCATATATGGACGTCCAACTGTTCAGACCCCATCGATTTCCATTTTTCTCCATGTGAGGGCATCCAAACGATTTTCACTGGGGTGAAGATGCAAGCCAAGCAGGTGCAGCATGTGTGTACAAAACTCAGGTGATGACCTCTCATAGGTCAATCACTGGTACATGGTCGTTAGTTTGCCTGGCAAGGTGTCACAAGCTGATATAGTTCAGGTCTGCTCTAGTACATGAAAGGTATCTCAGCTGCACAGATTGTAATTTCTATCATGGCCTATAGCGTGCGACACCCAACACTCCTTGAGAAGGCCAGGAGGGCAGCTATCCTGTGGGTGTTCCCAGAGACATCTCCCAGAGACTCTGAATGACAGGCTGCATGCTCGGTCACTTGGGATATGAGCATGCGAGCGAACCTTTCTGTATCTGCAAATACAATGCAGACCAACAGGTTGCTAGCAACAGTCTTGATCATGCCTGGATGGCATCATCAGAAAATGGTGTGCAGGTTTTGACGCTGTGCACTCACCACTAAACACCACGGGGCATGTCAGGATGTGCTCAGGAGCATAGATAACAGAGGAGTGACTTTTGACTGGAATATGATGGCTTGCTGCCCGGATTTCCTGACAAGTGGCGAGATGGAATATCGGGGCATCATGAAGTCATCATTCAACTGTGTTGGTGTAAGCTTGGAAAGTGTGATGAATGTGGCACCACACTACCCACCAAATATGAATGTGCCTTGATCCTGGAACATCGTCATCATGTCTTGGACCGCGGTGCTAATCATGTCAGGCAATAGGTGGAGCAGGGGATTTAATTGTGTCTGGATCAGAGTGGCGTGCAGGTGGCCATGAACCCCAAGTCTCCAGGAGGATCGCGGAATCTTGTGATTCTGGTGTCGGTAGGCACCACGGTTGTCACTGTCAGGTTGGTGTCAGGCACTGGTGAGTGACGTGTTTGAAATGAGGGTGATTGTGCCAGGCCATCACTGAAAGTGAGACCAGTACAGACCAGGCGTTACTCATCACATGAGCTCATCACCAGTCTGGAGTGCAGGTTCCAAGGCCATGTTTGTGATTGAAGTGCCACATCCTTGGCACTTACATCTGATGGCTTTGCCTCACATGACGCTGCTACACACAACACTGGAGTTAGCTTGATGCCATCACACGATTGACACTGAGGCCTGTCTATGATTGTAAGTCTGACTTGGGATTCTTGCAAGAAGAAACCTATCATGCAGAATGGAATGCTTGGAGATGCAGTTTGATCATCTTCTTCATGGCAGTAGTGTCTATGCCTTCTATACATTGTTAAATGAGTCTGTCACAGTGAACTGTTTGGCTGCATCATTGAAGAAAAAATAGATGATACCCTCTCACACAAGGAAGGCCATGAACTCTGTGTGCATTGGGGTGGTATCAGTTCTGATCAGTGTTGCATATGTAGACACACTAGCCTTTCAACCTCGCACAATCCTGCATTGTTGGAACTATGTCCATCAGGTCTACGATAGGGTATTCTGTGGTGGTTGTTATGACACATGTGCAATTGTGATAGGTTATGAAGCGGAGTGGTGTCATTGTGTTGCTCTGTTCTGCTTGCACTGTCATTAGGATGCTCGTGTGAGTCCATGTTTTGTGAACATATGTAGGATGAGTTACAGGCCCGGTGTAGAGACTCGCGCCTCTCAATGCGGAATATACGGCCCTATTACCCACATAATTCCCTACACGTTCCAGCTCTTATCCGAAGGATCAGTCATACGCGCTCTCAAGCGCGCGCCCTACGTACGCGCCTCGTTCGCGCGCCTTACACGCACTCGCGCCTTTCGCGCGCGCTCGTGCGCCTCCCCTTAGGCCTTCGTACCCTTGTCCGTCCGTCCGTCCTATGTCCTCGCTGATTTACTGGTGCGTTATTCTTATCCCTTTCACTGAATTGACGTACCTTCGGTCCGATCTCCGCGCTTACATATAGAAAGTCTATCATAGGCTTTAGAATATATTTAGAGTTGATATGGTTACTCGGTTCGGTACCACACTCGCAAGCGCGCCGCATAGCGTAATCTCCCTTCTTAAATAGAGGGAAAGTTCCTTTTAACTGACTTCCTTCCCTTCTCCCTTATCTGAGTATACTGCAAGTTGTATAAGTGCACCTTAGTACTTGAAATCCGATCATACTTCACTATTCTACCATCGCTCGCGCACCTGTTATACTTGAACACTCTCCCCCATCGCTCAAAAGCACGCTTCCGTATACGCGCGCGCCCCTCACATCTTTCGCTCGCGCGCGCCCTTCGCGCGCCTTCGCATTTACTTACTCGCGCCTACGCGCGTGTTATCTTCTCGCGCCTTCGCGCGCCTTATCTTCTCGCGCCTTCGCGCGCCTGTTACCACCCGTCTAGTTGGCGAAGACTCCCTCCATTACATTAAAGAGGAACTTCTCTCAGTAGCTGTCCTTTGGGTCGAGTCGTATTCTCGTATCCTGGTCTTACTGTAGAACCCCCGTTAGCTTTAGCGTTTCACCTATAGTCAAGATTCCTCACCTTCACCGGCAGGTGGCAGCCTATGTGGGACATGTCGCATATGCTGCTGGTGAGCACTGAGTCCACGGGTGGTGCTGGGTACAATGGATGTGTTTGACTGGCCTATCTCTCTGTCTGAGGTGCCCAAAACTATGGGCCAGATCGGTGTCCTGCGCTTCGGGGTGTGACACCCTATGTCTCAGGCATTGTGACACCTCCTAAATGTACATGCCGACAAGTCCATCCATTTTTGAGGGATATGGAATTGAATGGCCTGGACCGATCATAGAGCCTGACTAACTAATCAGGCAGGGCCATCGACCGATAATGTGGACTGAGCCTGGGCCTGGACTTTTGATAAGTATGGTGATGGGCACAGACAGGTAGTTTGGGATCCTAGTCGACACACCATGTCTGCCACATATTTCTATCTTGAAGATGTTGCCAATGACGAGGGAGCCCTGGTATTTCATGTGTTGTCCTGTGCACTGGCCTGGTACTGGCTGCCGAGTCTAACATTTGCTGAGCAGTTCAGTGACAAGGATGAGGGAGGGTCACCTTCACTGTCCACTTGTGTGCTGAACTTGGGGCATCACACCATGAGAATGGGTTGCATGCAACGGCAAGCAGTGTGGTGGTGAGCAACAGTTTATTGAGGGAGCCTCAAAGGCTGCAAGGTATGCTGCACAGGTTGAGTCAGAGACAGTTGCTAACATCACGCTGTAGGTATACAACACAGAGTGGGGCTATACAAAGATGGCTCCAAACTGATATCTTTATGTTGTGGTCTTGCACTGCCTATCTGCTATACTTGCGGGACAAGTGCATTCAACCCAGGGGTCTGCGGTCTGGGAATAGTTTTGGGGGTCAGTGGGTGATGTGGGGTCAATAATCCGAGTGTGGGAAACAATGTCCAAAGGTATAATTATGATGTCCAATGCAAAAGCATCGGGTCCGATGTTTTTCGGGTTTCGGGTTATTGGGTTTGGGTTCGGTATATCAGAAACTAATAGTAACACAATAGCGAGCATTGGGGAAGCGAGCGGTGTGCGCAATAATAATGATAATGGATATGGACGGTGAAGGAACAATGATATTTGCAATGTCAACTAAGAGCTATGAAATATCAGGTTTGACCCCTAAGCGTCGGAGATGATTCTCCTCTACTCAGATGATGATGATGCTATGGGGAGTCCAATATTTATGTAGATACGTAGAAATCCGGAACCCTATAGGCAAAAGTAGTAGCACAATATTTCAGATCCGATGTCCTATGTAATAAGACATGATGTACTGCGGACTATGGGAATACATGTAATAATGCGGGTGACAATGTTAGCGATGTGAAAACAAGTAACTACACACCTAGTGGGGCTAGCGCAATGAGACAGGACATAGGTAGGACAAGTGCATGTGATATCCGATCGGCCGATGCAAAACCCGATGCAAAACCCGATGTCTGATGTCCGATGTTTTTGGGTTTGGTGTGTATTGAGTCGGATATGATAGGGAATGATTTGGGTAATGATTAGCATCCCACATGCATCGGAAAATAGACCTCTACGAGGCCACAAGGACTCCAAGTCCTACAACGCATATTATGGTGCAGTGTTTGTGGCAGTGGTAGCAAATAACTCAACGGTGGATGTGGTGTATGTGGAATCATTGAATGTCGCACATCTGATTGTGCAAGAAGCTGCGAAGGCAAATTATCTCTGTTGCACAACACCTCATAGGACAGATACTGGTTACAGTCAGGATTCTGCATAGAAGTCTGTAACTATCCACACAACATATGTATGATAAACTGTGGATGGAGGATCCTGGGCCGCAGATCAGAACTGGTGAATGAATCATATGCTGTGAGGTGGCAATGCAGATAGAATGTGTCAGCCAGGTGCTGTTGCAAATCATTGAAGATGTCGTAGATCTCTGGTACATGAAGAGGGCACATTTCATCAATTGATGAGGGGTGGCAACAGTGACAAGTTAAATGGACAGGTGGTTGGTATGTCAAAGTATAATTGACACACAATGAGTTCCACAGAAACCTTCAACCTCAATTCCCTTGCTACTCCACAGACGATGCATCCCGGTCCACTCATGGAGACCTTGATAGCATGTGCAAATGTGCCCGATGCCACCAGCTCACAGCGGCTGGCTGCACTTGCTCAGTCCAACAACCCTTGCTTCTGGGACTCCAAAATCCGAAGTGAACAATGGTTTGACAACAAAGGTCTGTGTTTCAGCATCCTATTCCCAGCGATGCTGGTGCTCAATGGGAAACACTCTCGCATCGACCCATACTTTACGCTGCCAACTTTGAGACAGGTATGGTGACCATCATCTGTGAGGAAGCGCTCATCTGACGTGCACAACAGCCTGAGATCAAGGATGTCCATACTGTGAAAGCTCAGTTCGAGCTGTGAACACTGGACAACTCTTATCCAGCAGAAGCTGTCATGTGCAGCAAGAAGGTGGCAAACACTTTGATGTATATTGTGAGTGCATGCAAAAAGATCAGGAAGTCCGGTGAGTTTGCTGCAATGTGTGCCTCCAGTGTCACCTGACGGGCAACATGAAGACAAGTGTGAGGTTATTCAATTCATGTGGAATGGGGGCAGCTCTGGCACTGATCCACTGCATTTTGTGGTGCATACCGAGCCTCTGTTTCCGGAGGCAGCAGTGTCCATGCAGGAGGTTGTCCCAGAGTTTTCCTTGGAGGATTTTGAGAGTGAGTCTCGCATTGCATGGGTGGCCGGATTCTGACATGTGTGGGTCAGACACCAACGTGACATTTACAGGAGGTAAGTATCTTTGGATTGGTGGATGTCAATGGTTTCTGATACAGATATAGATGTTCTCAAGCAGCAGTTCTCAGGTAAGAAGGAGAAAGCTTCAGCCTGCAGTTTTGCAGTTGGTAAAGGCAAGTGCTGTGTCGTGTCTTGGGAGTGTATGCTGATGGGAGCAGAGGTTGATGGCTGGACCATTAAGGGGATGCCAGATCCACAAGGTCATTTTAAGACCGTTGAAGGTACAACAATTCAGATGGTGAGTCTGAACAATGTTGGGTCTTGCAGAACCTAGCTGCTATTCGACCCTAAAGGGTTTCTGGACCAGGCTCAAGGCTCAGAGGAGAGGAAATGTCATAAAAACTGCTGAAGACTTAGACTCATACTGGTAACTGGTGGAAAGGTAACTTGATTATGTAAGCTACAAAGTGCCAACATAAGGTAAGGTAAAGACAGTCTCTACAAGCCTAGCCAGAAATGAATCCCTACACCATGATCGATGTGCATGGCTTGGACGATGTGCCTGTGGTGGTGCCTAATGTGTGGGATGCAGACAGGAGCCTCATCCATCCCTCAGAGTACTCCAAGCGATTGGACAAGGGCACTCCAGTAACGGTGGAAGTCCTGTTGCAACTGTGAGTTTGGGCGAGGATTGTGTAGACAGTGACACTGATGCTCGCATAGGTGGACTTTTGGGCCTGAGAACAAATGTCCGACAGGTTCGCGCATCTACCAGACTACTTTAAAGTCCCTGTGCATTCTGCCATTGACAGAGAGGCCGAAGACTTTGGTGCCCAATGGTGTGGGGATGCCCACTGACCCCAAAGGGAAATGCAAGGCGGATGGTCCTCCTGCCCAAGGTGGTCCCACTAGGAAGGCAGCTAAGATGGCCGGGGCAGCCGCATAGGTTGTGAGTGGACCTGAGGATATCAGATGTGGGCAAGGTGAAAGTGTTCGCAATGGTGACCCAAAGCAGTTCAATTTCTATATTGCAGATGTTTGGTTTTCGTTGGTTTGGCTTTGTATGGTACTGGAGGGCTGAGTTTTAGAACTAAATGTTAAGTCAGACCTCTATCCCCAGATAATAGACTGATATTAATGTACCTAAATGTTAAGTCAGACCTCTATCCCCAGATAACAGACTGATATTCATGTACCTAAACATTAAGTCAGACCTCTATCCCCAGATAACAGACTGATATTAATGTACCTAAATGTTAAGTCAGACTTAGGTACAAGTTAGTGCACAGCGGGCGAGAAACAAAGTAAGAGATGCACCCTCTATCCCCAGATAACGGACTGGGGAAAGAGGGTGAACATGAGGATTCGGTCATATATAGTAGTGGTAACATTCCAAACATTTAATCTCCGGCTTCGCGTCGACATCCAAGTTCCAACACTCCTCCTTGACATGAAGCTAATATCTCCTCCTCGCCTGGTGTCATTCCCGTAAACCTAGAGCTGCTCGCAACTGTTGGAAGTCTTTCTTTGGCAATGCTTTAGTGAATATATTGGCAGAGTTGTTTTTGGATTGGACATAGTGTAAGCAAACCTGTTTGTCGTTCACGTGCTCGCGCAGATAATGATATTTGATGTCAATGTGTTTGACACGAGCGTGGAAAGTGGGATCTTCGGAGAGCACAATACTGCCGTTGTTGTCACAGTGCAGCGGCGAAGGTGTATCCTGATGGTGTCCAAGGCCAAGTAAGAGTGCGCAAAGCCACACTACCTCTTGAGTAGCTTCACATGCAGCAATGAATTCAGCCTCACATGTTGATAATGAAACAGTTTTTTGTTGACGTGTGCACCAGGAAATGATCCCACTGCCCAGGGAGAAGCAGAAACCACTGATTGAGCGCCATGTGTCGATGCAGTTCACAAAGTCACTGTCAGTGTGCCCGATTAGATGTGCCAGGCTATCTCCTCCCAGAACGAGTTTCAACTCTCGCGTCCCCTTTAGATATCAAACTACCTGTTTGGCTGCTTCCCAGTGGACATGACCATAGTCATCAAGGAACTTGCAAAGTTGTTGGACAGCAAAGGTGATGTCAGGGCGTGTTCCAATTGCAACGTACATGAGTTTTCCAACAAGGGAGCGGTAGGGAGTCTTTGCCATCTGTGCGCGATCTTCGTCTGTTTTAGGAGAATGTTCTTTGCGCGACATATGCAGCCTGGGTTCCATGGGTGTCGATACAGGGTGGGCATCAGTGAGGCTGAATTGGTTGATGACTTGATCGATGAGTGCAGTTTGGGAGAGGGAGATGGAGTGTTTGAGACGGTCACATTCAATCACAATGCCAACACAGAATCGAGCCTCGCCGAGATCAGAAATTTGCCATTGACTGCGCAATTGAGTTTTGAAATGGGCGAGGGCTGCTTTGTTGCTGCCGATATTGAAAAAATCGTCAACGTGTATTGCAGTGAGGATGGTGCTGAGGTCATCACGAGGGAATAAACACAGTGTTCACACTCGAGACACTTGAAGCCCCGCGAGATGAGAGCCGTGTGTAGTGTATGGTTCCAGACACGTCCACCCTGTTTCATACCATAGAGACCACGTTCGAGTTGCCACACCCAATCCTCCTTGCCGGCTTCCATGAATCCCTCCGGTTGCTCCATGTAACAGATCTCTTCAGAGTCCAGGAGGCCATTAAGGAAAGCAGTTTTGACGTCAAGTTGCTTGATTTCCCAGTCAAGAGAAGCACCTAGATGTGCGAGGACACGGAATGACTCCAGGCGTGCAGTAGGTCAGGAAGTTTTAGTATAGTCCTGTCCATAGACAGCAGTGAAGCCCTGGCACATGTATCTGTTACGCACTCAGATAGAGTCTTCCGTAACAGCTCCAATAAAGGAGATCAGGAGTATGGTATCAGGTAACGATGACCAGAGGTAGAACTCTGGCGAAGTGATCGAGTATAGGCTAGTCTCTTCTCAAAGAGCTAGATCAGTAGGCACCCTCAGGTCCTAGTCAATTATCAGGTAGAACTGAGTAGATTCAAGTTAAGGAGAATACAAGAGGTGGCTAGGGTTTATATATGTAAGGGAAGCATGCACAGACCAGTCCATGAGGCGTTGTAGAAGTGGGAGAGGAAGTCAGAGATAAGGAAGTCCTCATGGTCTACATGAGGGAAGCTATAAGCAAAGCGGGGATCAGGAAGTATAGCACATGAGTAGTCCTGTAGGTGATGAATGGGAAAATGATGGGGTTGCTGTAACAGTATTGTGCCTTGAAATGAACAGGTGTCCCCTTCTCATCCTGTTTGAGCTTGAAGACAGGTCAACCTTTCATGATGCGGTGGCCACGGGGCACTGCAGAACATGGCACTAAAGTGTAAGTGCCTGTGTTCTTGAGTAAATCAAACTCCTCCTGAAGTGCAGTGCGCCAGTGGTCAGCATCAGGTGAAGCCATGGCTTCAGCATAGGTTGCTGGATCATCAAGGAATTCTTCAGGCACAGAAGCGCTGAAGGCATCAATGAGCAAAGCAAGGTTGTCTGCAGACAAAGGGTTTGGTGTTGATGGTGGAGCGTCCTCATCAGGTATCTTGGTCACAGAAGGCTGCATAGCATTACATCATTCCCTGACAGAAGTGTAAGGTAAGTTGTTAGCAGCGCACAAACATTCTGAAGGTGGGGAGACGCGAGTTGAACAACAAGGTAGTATGGGTACTGGTGCTTCAGGGGGAAGATCTGCAGTAGGAGAGTTGGTCAGAGCAGGATCTGAACGAGAGGGGGCACAGAGTGGGTGGGGGATGGCTTCATGTGACTCGATGAAAGAGATGTGGAAGGAGATGAAAATCTTGTTCGAGGGTCGATGGTAACAGTGGTATGCTTTAGAGTCAGCAGAATAACCAATCATTATACACTCAATGGAACGGGCATGAATTTTGGGATTGTGCTTGTTCTGGATCAGAACAAAAGCACGGCAACCTATTTCCTGAAGATGTGAGATGTTCAGCTTGTGATCGTACCAGCGCTCAAATGGAGTAGAACCTTGCTGAGATTTGACGGAAACACAGTTGGAGAGGTAACATGATGTGAGCACAAATTCATCCCAACGATTGGGGGGAAGGTTGCATGCCAGTCACATGGTGCATGCACGACTCATGAGGGTGCAATGTACACGTTCAACATGGCCATTCTGTGCAGACATGTATGGAGCAGTGAATTGATGTTGAGTCCTGCGAGATAAGAGCCACTCCCTCATTGCAGACGACTTTAACTCACCATTGTCAGATTGGTAGGTGCCAATGCGAAGACCCATTTTGAGTTTGTGTGCACGTTCCCAAGCCTGGAGGGCAGAAAAAGTGGTGTCTTTGGATGTTAGAGGTATGGCCCACATGAACAAAGACAAATCATCTATAATGTCCATAGTGTAGCGATTGCCTGATGTTGATACAATGTCCAGATGTTCCATCAAATCTACATGTACAATGCCCAACTTCTGGGTGGCGCATTGTAGGTGAGGAATGTAGAATGCTATGAAGTGGGGTGGTATGAATATACTCAGATGGTCCTCTGTGCGCGAATCTAATGTCAGCCCAAGGGGATTGCTACTGAGAAGGTTCCTCTATATATAATAGTGGAGGGAAACACTGAACCGGGCTGTCGGATAAGCCTGGTGAGGCACGCAATGATGAGCGAAGCGCGATGAGCGGAAGCGCTACGAAGCGCTACTGAGCGACGAGTGCGATGGTGCGTGTGCGGGTAGTGGAGCGCAGCGACTCTTCAGTGAGTCGGGAGACAAGTAAGACAATGTTTGTATATATGAGTATGAGAACTGGCGCTCGTGTCAGCTTTTAGCGCTTAGTGTTGGTCGGCGGACACGACGGAGATTTTAGACTTAGAGTCCAATGTTTGTGCGGGAAGAAGAGAGTTCCTATTCTACATAGAGGCAAGGTATATACATATTCTAAGTAGCGTTAAGCGCTGTCAAGCGCTAAAGCGAGCTGGAAAGTGAAGCGAGTACGTGATGGTATGTAATAAGGGTCCGTGACGAAACATACAGAATATGTGCGCAAGCGCCGGAGATATGTCAAAATACATGAGAATAAAATAGGAATACACACTGACGAACCAAACGGACATGGAATGGATGGATGGAGGACGAGCGATGGAACCGAGGATACGTGCGTCGATGCGCAACCGAAGCGCCTGTGCGCATGAGCAGCCGATGAAGCGCCAAGTGCGCAGAATGGGATATGGGTCGCGCTATGTTTGGAAGGTGTTTAGGACATTGTAGAATTAGCTCTCTACGAGGCCACAGAGATGTCAGTCTCTACAGCGTGATCCCTCTCTAACCTTCAGTACAGATGATCTAGTCTGTTTTCCGAGGATGCAATGGTCACATTTAGGGGGGAGAGTAGAGAGATCAGCATGCATACCAGTGATGTGGTTGCTGTGTGCCATGTCAAACACTGAGCGAATGTTTGCATGAGCGAGACAACGGTGCCACACACCAAGCGATGGGACAGGTGTGGAGTACATGGCATCTGCTGAACCTTCAACAATGGCCTCATGTGCGGATGATGCACGCTGGTGGGCAGCCCTGATTCGGCCACCAGAGACACGATATAGCCGGCGCAAGATAAGCACACTGGTGAGTGCCCGTGCACTGGAGGAGGTAGTCACCCAGCAGGAGGAGGCATCGAAATGCCCAGTATAGGAGGACTCATTGCAGAGACTTGACACAGAGACCAGACTGACAGCTGCCAAAGGCACAAAGAGGACATGCAGGAGGGTGATATGCAGTCCTTTGCCAACACAGAGTTTAACTGACCCAATGCCAACAGCGTTGACATGGGAGTCTCCAATGCCTCGAATGGGACGAGGAGGCAAATGGCAGAGTTCAAAGAAACCAGAAATCTCATGAGAGATGTGGACCGATGCACCACTGTCAAGGTAGAATGGGGTGGCCTCAAGGTCAACAGGCATGTATCTAGGCTGTTGTAAGGCATCAGCAGCTATGCTGGCAAACACAATGTCGCAAGTGTTGGTACACCAGTCAACAGTGGCTTGCAGGTTCTCCCAGTCAATAAACATGGTGTCCCACTCTGCAAGGTCAGCATTGGACAGTTCATGGATGGAGCTAGAGGCTGCAGAGTCGTGGACCAGCCCAGCAAATTCTTCAAAGGAAGGGGGGTCAGGTTGATGTGGTGCCGCGAGATAAAAGGCTTCGCCAGTGGTGCTATCCAGGAGGTATGCGCGGCCAGATGAATCAGTGTGCTGAGTTGAGGACCCCTTTGGCCCAGATGGCGCTGTTTTCGCAGGGGGTGCCTTGGTATTAGCACTGTCATGTTTCTCACGTGCGGCGCGCTTGGCTGCGAGGATCTCGTCACGGCGACCGTGCGCAGCACCACCTTCGGCGAAGCACTCTGTGATGACATGACCACAATGAGAGCAGTGGGAACAGCAGATACCCTTATGTCCTGGTCCCTTACAAGTCAGACAGGACTTGGACTTTCCTCCTTAGGCTACAAGAGCAATATCTGTGGATGAGCCATGGCTCTTGTCGGCGTCAAGGAGTTGTTGTTCCATATCAAGTTGGATACAAATGTCGTCAGGTGTGAAGGGGTTCAACACAGAACTAGCTGCAAGAGAGCTGGCGACTTGGTCACAGACGTGGGACAGGTCTCCAGTAAGGGCATTCAACATGATGATTGATAGAAAAACCTGTTGTGTCAGTATCCCCATATCGAAGATGGAGTGAACACCTTCAGTAAGGCGATGACTGGTTTCGGCAAGGTTGGCGTTCTTGGAGTAACACACATTGAGTAGCTCTTGGATTTTTAGAATCTGGGCTATGGGCCTGAGCTTCTGGTGACGGGAGCGTAAGGTGGTCCATGCCCTGTGTGCACCAACAATGCCATCGAGGACATGCTTGTCGTCTAGGGAGACGCAGTTGCGCAGCGCTGCGACTATGCCAGCATTGTTCAAGTCCCAGTTCCTGGCAGCCAGAGGCTCGCGTGTCGCATCCAGGCAAGCAACTGTACCTGTGGTGTAGCCCTCAAGGAGGTTCATGTGGAAAACCTCCAGCATGAGTTCGGACCATGAGGTCCAGTTGTTCTTCGCTCTGTCCAAGAGCTCAATCTTGTCGAGATCGGCTTTTGAAATATGACACGCCATAATGGAGACAGCTGATGAGGTAGGATAGTACGCATAGGGGGAGCTGGAGCCAATGGAGTGGCTTGTGGCACGAAGGGAGGCACCGCAGAAGGTGTTGCTACATTGAGCAAGGGCTGCGGGTTTGCAGCTCCATCAAGATCGGTCCTCACACGAGTATGGGGGGCCATTATGATGAGGGAAGAAGGTTAAGGTGAGTTGGGGTGTTGTAGTATGAGCCGTGAGGTATTTATATGTGCACAACTTGAGGATCCCTCGAAGAAGTGCTCCCAATAAGAGAAGGATGGTGGTCTGAGCACAGGGTATCAGTATGTGCGCCCGCCAATGAAAACACGTGTTCGACACTTGTCAGAATGACGCGTAGATAAGGACTTGAGAAACCTGTAGATAGTGTCTGGTAGTCTGACGCATCTAGAGGTTCTGACTCCTTATGTGGAGTCAGGGCTCATAACCTTTTAGAACTAAACGTTAAGTCAGACCTCTATCCCCAGATAATGGACTGATATTAATGTACCTAAATGTTAAGTCAGACTTAGGTACAAGTTAGTGCATGGTGGGCGAGAAATGAAGTAAGAGATGCACCCTCTATCCCCAGATAACGGTGTGTGTGAGGAATGATAGCTAGATGAGAAGGGGTGAAAGGGGGAGAAAGGGTGAAGTGGGGTAAAACTCAAATAGACCTCTGGACGCGAGTATAGATTCGGCCCAAGGGGATTGCTACTGAGAACGATTCCTCTAAGTAAAAATATGGAGGGGAAACTTTGAACTGGTAAGAGTAACTGAAAATGGAAGAGCGCGCAATGTTGCGCTTGAAGCGATGCAAGCGTGAGCGAGCCGCCAAAGGTGTGATACGATGTGCGACTGATCGGCTGAAAGTTTGATGGAGCGCAGAGACGCGGAGAAAAGCCAACAGTTTATATGAACGCGTGACTAGCGGATATGCGAAGGAGATGTGACGTGACGATAGTGAGGGAAGGGAGCTTTGACTATAGATGCGATGAGCGATGTGTGGACGATAGCGCGACCGTTAATACAGTGTGCAACGTAGTCGGCCAAAGGATTCTGACTTCGAGTCTGAGTGATGCGTGCAAATGGATGATAATTTCGATAGCGGGAAAAGAAGCTACATGAAAATTCCTAAGTCTAAAGTATATATTGTAACGCTGTTTGGAACCGAGAAGATAACGGTAATACATATTAAGGGTCTATAACGCAAGTAACGAAACATACACGATATCACTTCCGAAAATATAATCAGTCTAACACAAATGAGATAAAATACGCACCAATGGACAAGTGGAGGACATGGATAGGACGGAGTAGGATGCGCGACGGAACCGACGAAAAGCGGATGCGAACCGAAGCGCGCGTGTGCGCTGCGGCTGTCGGCTGACGATAGGAAGGATGTGCGCCGTGGTAGTGATAGCACGCGCTGCACTAGGACCTGAGGGACACTGCAAAAATAGCCTCTACGAGGCTACAAGGACTACAAGTCCTACATCACATACAAACTTTAAATTCTGACTGTCCCCAGTCAGCCTCTATAGAGCGGAGGGACTTAGCGAAATTTCGACGAGATAAGTCATGTGATCGTGTGAGGTTCGCGCTGGATGTGGAGCACAATAGTGGACTGTGGATATGTGGAGTGCCAACTGTGGAAACTGTGGCCAATTTTGATGTATTCAAATGTGTCGCATGCCGCGCTTCTCTTCTTCTCAACTTCTCATCGCAGACATCGCGATTATCTTTTGCATCACACTACCATGTCTTCCACCATCTTTAACCCTTCTATGCTGACTGCGTCTCCTTCTCCCTCTCCCTCGCCTGAACCTGAGGAGCGCCCGCTAGAGGGTGGCAATGCGTCTGTCGATGACACCACTCTCGATGATGCGGCTCCGAAGGAGCCTGAGGAGTCCGAGTCCGACCGGGTGGAACACTCTTGGGCCGCCATGCTCAACACCATGCGCGTCTGCATGGACACTGCTCCTCCCTCCAAGCCGGAGCTCTTGGAGGAGCAGGAATCTTGGCTTCGCGACTGGAATGTCCCAATGGTGAGTGGTGTGTTTTTCTTTTTGTACTTACTTTTTCACTAATGATTCACTTTTAGTCCGATATGACGGTCGTGTATGAGCGGGCGTGTGCAGCTTCGCTGCATGTGTCCCTTAACGACGTGGACGCGGTAACATTAGCTGAGGGCAGGATTGCCGCTAAGATGCTGATGAGAGTTGTGAAGGCCTGGAAGGAAAAGGCGGAAGAATCTGTGGTGACCGTGCACCCGGCGCGCGCCGACAAGGGAAAGGTGAAGGAGGTTGTTGTGGTGGGGGAGAAGACGGTTGAGAAGGCGGCTGAGCTTGTGTTGACTGATATGGGGCGACTGGTAAGTTCATTTTCTTTTCTTTCTTGCCTTTTTCATTCGTGCTGACGCGTTATTCTAGCATTTGGGTGGGCGGATGACTGCAACCTCAGTCAATCGCCCCGCCGAGCATTGTGAACGCTGCACCGCTTCTGGCGCCAAGTGCGTCGTCATTTACGTGGGCGGGCGTTGTGAAGCATGCATCAAAGCGCGGAAGGTGTGCTCTTTTGGTAAGTCCACGACGCTTACTTTTTATTTCCTATCGTTACTAATACAAATTCCAATAGTCGCAACCAAGAACAAGGGTCGCGCGCCGGCTGCGCCCAAGCGCAAGGCGCCTCCCTCTGTGCAGACAACTGCACCAGACATGGCTGAGTCGGAAGTGGAGATTGTGGGTGAGGCTACAGCCGATGAACCTGCTGTTGGTCCTTCCAAAGCCATCGTTGTGCAGCAACCAAAGCGCGCGCTCGACTCAGATGCTGCTCCTGTGGTGAAGTGCCCTCGTCTGGAGGCCGACCTGGAGTTGGAAGAAGCGCGTGTGGAAGCCGTTCATCTTCGCGACGAGAATGCTAAGCTCCGCGTGCAAAACGATCAGTACCGCCTTGCGCTTATCAACATGCGCCAGCACACGCGCATCCAGGAGTCCAAGTTGCTCTACATGAGCAACTGGCTCTATATCTTGGCGTGCGACTGGGGGAATTGGGAGAAGGAGCTTGGGGAGGTCCTAGAGGATTAGGAGGGACTCTTTAGAATACTTTAGATTAGAATCTCTTGCGGGCGCCAAAGCACCTTGTACTATAGCATTTCAATTTTTCCTCTGGCACCTGGTGTGCTCAATAGAATAGTCCTGTTGTGTTCCATTTCTTGTCCATGTCCCTATCCAATGTCCAATTCTGCTAGGTCCATTGGGCTATAGATGGGGATTAAAATGATATTAAGTAATTGAGTGCGGCGGCAAAGAAAACAATTGGAAAGGAATACAGAACGTTTGCGGGTTGTGCACCCGACTTGTCTTCTTTGTGTGGCTATCGCGTCTACTCCTGCTTTGGCCGCTGATGGTGCAGTTGATTAGAGATGAGGTCTGTAAATCTATAGCAAAATGTGCACAGCGCGCGTTAGAAATGGAAAGGTCTAGGGGGTTGGTTATGCGCGCACGTCTAATGGAATGATATGCGTTATATATATACTTGGTTCTTTATTATTGTTTTGCAATGTGATAGTGATAGAGTCTGTTGAATATGTGCGGTCAATGCGCTTATGTGCGGTTATATGAGAGAAATAAGAGGAAATGATCGCCGGCCGAAACCCAGGGTAAAACAGAGAGTATGTACTATAGCGGTATGTTTTTGCGGTATTCTTGATATTTGGTGTTGTTGGTATTTTTGGTTTTTATCGATGCGGGAGCGGTGATTTACATGTAGAGTGTCGGGTGGTATGCGGGAAGGGGTGTAAGTGCTAATCTTCTTGCGCGCGTTCTGGTTTGTCTTTGTCTGGTTCCTCAATGTCCTCGTCAGCTAGCTGATCTAGCACTTCGTTGTCTTTTCCAGTGATGCTTGTTACCATAACGCACTCACCATTGCGTGGGTGATAGGAGATGACGTGAAACACCGCGTAGCGTAAGAGCGATATAGCGCCGTCCAACTCGGCCAGGATATATGAGCCTCCCTTCGTGCGTCGCACTACAATCATAGGTCCCAAGTACCGCGGCTTCGTCTTCTTGCTCAACTCATACTCGACCTTGGAATTCCACACCAACACTAAAGTGCCGGGCGCATGGTCATAATCGCGGATGGTATTGCACAAGCGCTTTTCGAAGTCGCGAATCGACGCGAAGCACACTTTTACTACCTTGTCTCGGATCTGGCTGAGATCTTCAATGCGCTTTTGTAATTGGCGGGCGCGCCATGCTATAAGGTCAGCGGTGGTGAATACGCCACGTGCAGGCATCGGCGCTAGAAACATAGCTTCAGCAAGATCAAAAGGAAATATCGGCTCCACGCCGTGCACCATAAAGTAGGGCGATAAGCCCATAGACTTATGAATGGTGACGCGCTCGGCCCAGAAAATGGAATGAATGACCTGATGCCATTGTAGGTCATCGCCGTCGCATGTCTTCATAATAGCTTCGCGAACGTCGCGATGGCGTCGCTCGACTATGCCATTCGCTTGTGAATTATATGGCGAAATATGTATCAGATGGACGTCATATTTTTCGGCTAACATGTCAGCGGCGAGTCTGTAAGCGGGTGCGTTATCAGTAATCAGCTCGGTCACCAGACCCCATCGACAGAGGATCTCTTCATAGATGAAAGCCGCTAGTGACCTGGTATTCTCCTTGTGCAGCATGCGCCATTCTGGATACGATGTTAGTGCGCAATGCGCTTGGACAAGATACTCAAAGCCGCCCACCCGGGGCATCTTCATAGTGTCAATATGCACTCTGCGGAACAAACCGCTGGGCATCGGTACCATCGGTGGGATATGAAGCTTGCACGTCTGCCTTATCTGGCATTTGTGACATGTGCGCGCGTACCATTTGATGTCATCCATCATGAATGGCCATCAAAACCGTAAGATTAACTGAACACGAATCGCGTATACTCCCTTGTGACCTAGATCGTCATGCACTTGTTTGAGAATACTATAGCACCTTGGCGGCGCCAAGACAAGTTGGTGTTTACCGTGGCGCTCGCGGCGCCATAGGTTGCCATTGAGCACAAAGAAGCGCACTGCTTGGTTGACCATCGTGGTGTAATCTTCGTCCGACAATCCTGACGGGCGCTTGCGCGTTATTAGGAACCGTTTGAGGGTCAGAAGCTTTGCATCTAGAGCGATGGCAGCTTCTGAGTGCGGAATGATTTGCTCGTCGGTTGACGGAGCGACGACATCTAAGAAGACATGAAGGATAGGTAAGCGGTTCGGCGGCATCATGATCGGTGCTAGGCACGCTGCTCGTGTGATATGCGCCCCGGCAGATTCTATTGTGAACGCGCGGTCGTTAAGCAAGGTCAAACTGAAAGAATGGGCTCGGTCTAGCCAATCCTCATGGTGATCATCTTTGGGAACATCATCATCGGCGGCCAGTCTCCTTGAGAGACCATCGGCGCCTTTGTGCTTCACGGCGGGTATGTGAACGAGATTAATAGAGAACAAAAGGATACCTGCGATCCACCAATTTATGGTCGCATTGGGCTGCAAGTCCGGATTATTGATCATACCTTTGATGTACTTCGCGTCGACCTCAACCGTAAGGTTGGTGACACCAAAAATGAAGATGCGCACGGCGCGCAATGCGCGGAAGAGTCAGTATAACTCGAGCTTTGCTTGCGAGTAGTGGCTTTCGACTTCACTGAGTGTGATAGAGCCGAAGCGGTTTGGATAGCGCTTGCCATCCTCACCGACTTCCAACAAGATATAGCCGACCGCGACTGCAGACGTGTCAACTGATAAGATAACTTCTCGGCCGCTCTTGTAGTCAATCAGGTGTAATGCTGGTGAGTTAACGATAGCGGCTTTGAGTAGGTCCATTGCCTCGCGATGTTCGTCTTCAAATTCGAACAGTACGTCTTTCCTAGTGAGGTTAGTAAGTGGTCGCGCAATGCGCGTGAAATCACAGATGAATATATGGAGGACACCGCATGTGCCCAAGAACCTGTGCACTTGCGACTGAGTTTTCGGCTCTGGCCAATTACGAATCTTTTCGACTTTGGAGTCTTCTGGGACTCGGCCATTGAACATGCATTTGTGTCCGACGATTACCGCCGATGGCGCGGCTAATACAAACTTTGTCATGGATACTGTCGTGCTGACGTTTTCCAGTCGCTGGAGAATGTGGTTGACCACAATGAGATGTTCCCAGACGAAGTGGCAGATGCCAGCATTTTCCAGTATAGTCTCATATGTGCCGTCGGCGTTCTGATAGTGCATCTTGACTGACTTGATCGGCACGTCGTCAATGAACGGCGATGTAAACTCTGGAATCTTGTGCTGCAAAATAAAAGTGGTATCTCCTTGGTATACCTGTACAACGTTAGCATGTCCTTGCAGCAATGTGGTTAGCCGATGGGGGCCTAGTGGTGTCCCAAAGGTCGTCAGGTTGCGCGAATCAATATGAAGCGCTCGCTGATCGTAACCCGCATATAAATCAAGGATCGCGTAGATCGCATAGCCCGCAAAAGTGGCGGCTAAATGCTCTATGAACGGCGGTAGCGATGCATCCCGAATTGTTACCTCGTTGAGTGGCTGCAAGTCATGGACTAGCTGCAGCAACTTCCCATCCTTCTTTACAACACAAAACCATCTTGAGCGGTATGCGGCCGTCGATGGCTCGTACACGCCTGAAGAGATCTTTTCTTTGACAATGACGATGACTTCGCTGACGATAGCTAGTGGGATCGGGATGTTGCGCTGATTCCAAGGCGTGTGCGGGACTGTAGGTATCTTGTACGGCAGAAAATACTTTTCGTCAAGGCGGCCGCGCTCGGTGGTGCACCAAGCAAACGCGAGTTCATGTATGAGAACAAGCCATCGTACCAGCTTGAGTTCTTCTTTCCATAGCCATTTGGCGGGATCAAGATTGAGCTTGTCGGCTCTTTCTTGCGTGAAGCGGGTACCTGGGACAAAATCGGGAGGGTGAGCAGGTAATTCTGGCAAGCCAGCGAGCGGGTCTTCGGGCAATTGCCGCACGATTCTATACTCAGCCGGCATAGCCATCGGTACCGTGCAGACTTTCTTCGCGACTGGTTTATATACCAGCACGTGCAAATCGCGGTCATAATAATACCACTCGTTAAAAGCGGTGATGTTCGCCTTATTAATAGCGGATCTGGTGGACATTAGTTGCGCATATTGCGCCGATTGGAGCGGGGGCAGAAGAGAAACGGAAAACTGTGGCAGACGATGCGATGATATGGAAAACGATGCGATGCTGCTCCTTAAGAGCGGTAATGCTTTGCCCTCGGCGCGCGCATATTGCGGCGCCTCAGGACTTGAACGGGAATGTGAGACATAATGTGAAGAAGAAACATGGTTAGCGGAATATAACAACAGCGGGTAGACGTCTCCCCGTGGCAACTGCAGATCATCGATACCTAAAAACCCTTCTCCTTGGCTTTCGCCTTTGCGGAGTGCTCAGCGCAATGTTCGCCATTGAGACAATGGTTGCAGCGCTTGACCCATGGGATGGTCAGGAGGCGCAACTCCTTGCGCGTGTTCGGGTCTGTGATAACAATATCTTGATCTCTGTTAGGGAGATCATTAGTGCGACATGACGATAGTTTGAAAAATGGATGACCAAGAAGAACTTCAAACGTCGCACGGTTAGTCACTTGTACTTGGAAGTACATCAGACCGCCGCCGAAGTCGAGTGGGACATTCTCAATGACGCCAAGTGTAGTGTTGCGCGATGTATTTACTGATTCCATGTTGAGCTTGTGATCTGAATGCAAACCGACGCCCAATGATTGCCATATCGCACGCAGCATGACAACAACCTCTGCGCTTTGGTCAAGGACGCAGGTTAATACTCGACTGCCATAAGTCACTGCGTGAATACAACGCAGCAGCGCGAAGTGATCAGCAACGACTTTGCCATCGTTGCTTCGCATGCGAACACCGTCATACGCGCCAAGCCATTCCTCCATTGCAGGATGCCCTGATAATTCATTGACGGAGACCGCACCGACAGTTACCCATTTGGTAGCCATCATATCGCGGAATTGCTTCCTGATTTTAGGTGATACGGCAAACAGTTCTCGGACTGGAATGTTGAGGCTTGTGTCAAGTAGGCGCTCAATAACGCACTTGTCAGCTTCCTTATCTTCCAATGCATGGGAGTATTGGTATTGACCAGTTGATGTTGCGGCGGCGGGCGAGTTGGCGGTGGTCTTTGACATTTCAGGCGATGGTGCAGCGGTCGTCGGTTTGGCGGATTCCCTACTGGATGATGCTGTTGGCGGCGGTGCGGTAGTGGTTTTCGAAGTCTCAGCCGCCTTTCCTTTGCCTTTGCCCGACGTAGCTTGGACCTCTGGAGAGACAATCTCCTCAGCCGCGGCTATTAGTCTGGATGCAGGACCTGGACGCGCGCGAGTTTCCCTGCCGACTTCAACACCATCAAAGCGAACAGTTTTGCCCTTGGCGTCGTCTTTGGCACTTCCACACTTCAGATCCCACCAAGCCATTGCTAGCGCAAGTGCTTGCGCTGCACGCACTACATCTAAATCGTCCTCATCCTCATCGGATTCGGGGTCAGCGATTGTATGGATAAATGCAGACAAATCAATGTCTACTACAACTTCTATACCTGGGGATGCGCGGTAAAACATGCTAGCGCTAACGCTAGCGCCCGGCAACGCCTCATTGGCTTGTTGATTGCCGTGATACCGATCTAGACAATCTTTGAGCATGCCGTCGCTCTGGTGGCTGGGGATCCAATTGCCGTTGGGAAGTACAAGTTTATTGATTGTGACGTCGAACTTGCATTTTCCGGCTGCGATGTACTGATCGTGTTCGCGACACCGACCCATGAAATGATCAGAGCCGCCGCAGAATATGCAGCCGCTGGGGCCGTAGTTGCCGCCGCGCTTTGCGAAATACTCCTGTTTTACTACAACGTTGGGTGCGGCTTGTTGCTGTACCAGCGTTGGTGATGGGACCGTCGGTACGTACGGCAATGCTATTACCAGAGTATTCGAAGGTACCGTGCTGGCAACACCAATGCCTGGTAACAAAAATGTTGCGGCCATGACGACATCGCTAAATGGGTATGGGTCCCGCGGGTGGTGATCTGGAAATTTAATCATTAGCTGGGTAAGTGTTTGCGCCTGAATGTCGCTTGGGAAGCCATCTATGAAAATGCAGTTGCGTTCCGCTTTACCTATCTGATCTTTTGTGATGAGCGCCTGCGCGATTTTGAGAAATGCACGCTGATAATCGCCCAGCTCCTTGACCAAGCGCATTGGGATGTTCTCTTGATTGCGCGCAATGGCAACTAGGTCATCAACGGTGTACCGCCGGTCACCTTCGCAGCCGGGATACATTGTCTTTACCTCTTTGATATAGACATCGTAGTCGCTGCCCTTCGCCTTGGGCATTTCCACCCATAGTTCGTGCTCGTTTGTTGACAAGTAGCAAATAATTCCTTTGATGCGGTCACCATGTTGGAGGCACGCCTCATTGGCGAGGACCTCATAGTCGTCGATGAATGCTAGGAGGTTTTCGGTTGCGCTGTCAAACTTCGGCGCACCTTCTGTGCCATGGATCGGCATTCTAAAGGTAGGGGTGGTGGACATTGCGGTTTGCGGTGCGGGGGGCGGAGTTTGAGAGATGGGTTGTTGGATGAGAGGCGACGGTCCGTGTGAGAAAATAGCTACTGCGGTGCGGATGGAGTTGGGTGCGGTTTGAGCGGCAGTTGGGTAGGGCAGAATAGTTGAAGAGGAGGCGGCGGTTGTTTTGGCTGTTGGGATACTTGGGAATTCTCGATCTAAATCACTAAGAGAGGTTAGCACGCTCACATTATCAACATTGTGAGTGTTGGTGGGTGCCGCTTGTTCAGGCGTTGTGCAAAATGCACCTGGTAAGAAATTCCTGGGGTTGTCTAGCACTTCGAAATCGTCGGACGATTCGGCTTGTACCGAATCCTTTGGTGAAGGCGTGACTGGTGAAGTGGGCGCGCGGTTGCATGCTACAAATAAATCCAGGTCAGGGCGGGTCGGTTCTGAAATGTTGCACAGGCGGCGCTTGTTTTGTGTCGTGAATAATTCCTTGATGGGCGTTAACTGAGTGTGCGGGAAAGCGCGGTTGAAACTATCAATCGCTTCCTGGTGCGCGGTGCAGTCCTTTGTAGGTCTCAGCTTCCTACCAGTCTTCTCAGATGATCCCCTCGTGGTGAGCTCCAGTTGTGTGTGAGGAATGATAGCTAGATGAGAAGGGGTGAAAGGGGGAGAAAGGGTGAAGTGGGGTAAAACTCAAATAGACCTCTGGACGCGAGTATAGATTCGGCCCAAGGGGATTGCTACTGAGAATGATTCCTCTAAGTAAAAATATGGAGGGGAAACTTTGAACTGGTAAGAGTAACTGAAAATGGAAGAGCGCGCAATGTTGCGCTTGAAGCGATGCAAGCGTGAGCGAGCCGCCAAAGGTGCGATACGATGTGCGACTGATCGGCTGAAAGTTTGACGGAGCGCAGAGACGCGGAGAAAAGCCGACAGTTTATATGAACGCGCGACTAGCGGATATGCGAAGGAGATGTGACGTGACGATAGTGAGGGAAGGGAGCTCTGACTATAGATGCAATGAGCGATGTGTGGACGATAGCGCGACCGTTAATACAGCGCGCAACGTAGTCAGCCGAAGGATTCTGACCAGGCTATCCTGTCATTCTAATGCAGTATAGCATGGTAAGTACCAACATAATGTGATGCAGGTGCGATGCTAAGCATAGGTTGCATTACTTCTCACCCAAACTGGTACTGTAATGCATTAGCCTTAAAATCGCGTAAATATTGCCTAATGCGTGTAACATACTGTTGGTCTTCAAAAACTGGCTTCCTGGTCCAGGCTGGTCCGCCCTGTTGCTGGGAGCCCCCTTGTTTGTCATCCCCCACATCACAATCTATTCTTATTCATATCCTTTCTGGTTGTTCAATTACCTTCAATTCACTTTGACTTCATGGTTCGAGACCTGGCATCCTTTTTTAGCTGCTTGACTCAACAATACAAAGTCTATGCGCCCGGAAATTTCCGGATGGGCTAATTTTTACCAAGTCCCAGTTGTGTTCAGTACTAGTACACATCAATTTTTTGAAGTCCCAGCGCTTCTACAGAATCCCTCCAAATTTTTTTACTTGCAAACCAAAACATACATATTTCATTGTTTAAGAGACACTCATATGTATCAATCCAATGTATTCAATGTAGTCAAGATTATCAGATTCACCATGAGATGTTGCGACTAAAGTAAACAAACTTGAACAAGGGGACTACATGGCAATCAAAGCCAGATACACTAGTAGTACAGTACTAACACGCCATCACGCCATACTTACCCTCACTTGGGTCTCCTGGAATAAAAAGATATGTGAACAAATTGAATACAATGAAGATAGTATAACGTACTTGTTTGAGCCTAGATCGTCGCCACGGCCTCGTTTCTGTTTGGCGCTGGAGTTAGACCCAATGGCATTATCGAGCTCACGCCTGTTGAAGGTAACATTGCATGCATGGCGTTGACGAGGTTCTTCTTGAAGATGCACTTGCTGTTGTACTGCGGGTGCCCTTGCACGTCGACGACAGTTAGGAGGGGAAGAAGGTACAGGTACATCTAGATCTTTGTGGATGGGCTCGACAGGAACCGCAGGCAGACAAATTTGCGGGGTCTGTGGGGGAGTTGGTGGAGGGGGTAATACCAATGGCAGCTCGGAGATTGCAGAGCTCGGAGTGAATAATGGCAGCTCAGCAAATGTAGAGCTCGGGGTGAATGAATCCAAGGGATGTGTTTGGATCTCCGTGTCGCCATTGAGAACAATCGAAGAACCTGGGATGAAAGGGCCCAGGGGAGGCACCTGAACTTGAGTATCACTGCCAGCTATCAAAGCTCGCATGCTGGGGTCCAGGTCTGTCTGACCAAAATTGAGGTCCAGGTATTGAAAAGCCTGGTCAGGTAATGTAGACTGTCGCTGGTGCTGGCCCAGTGATGTATCATATCAGTAATAATGCATTACAGAATGCACGACTCACCTCATGCAACAAGAAACCCTGGCCTGCATTATCGAATAATGCAGAACACTGAGTGTGTGGTAAGAACCATCATTAATGCATTATGAAGACGAGTAAGGCATCGCTTACCTCTTGTGACTCATTGTTGAACGAATCAGGTGAGATCCTATATAGACTGTCGTCCGTGTGAAAGTTCAAATTCATGCTACCAGCTTCCGCACTGCCTTCCATCGAATTGGTCTAGATATTGTTCATCTCGTTATCGCTGTTATCATCACTCTCCAAGTCGGAGTTGGAGTCGTTTTGAGGCAGAGTGGCTTCGAATTTTGTATAATACGGTGAGTGATGCACTTTACTGTTGAGAAGATGATGCTTACCAAGCACCCTGTCAGTAAATTCCAAGAATGCTTGCTGGATGCCGTCGAACTTTTCGCAAAACATGTTGAATTGAGCACCATTCCCGAGTTCGCCTATGTGATAGCTTTGATTTGTGGTATAAGTTGATGTAAGTGATTTGACATATAGCAGACGTACTCATATACCGCCATCCCACCCTTTGTGGGGTCAGGCCCAGCCATGAGGACCGAAAACTTCCAGCCGCCGGTTGCATAAGACAGGTAGCGGAATATACAGTCTAACATTGGACCTAGCTCCCGGATGGCCCTGACCAATGGTTAGCACCTTTAAATCAAGGCTGATCAAGAGGTGCATGCTTGACTTTCGCATTTGTATCAATCTTTGGCATCTTACCACCCTTCAAGCGCTCACGAGCTTTGGCGAACTTCGCTTTTGCCTTTCTATACTTCCTCTCAACCTCTTCCTTCACCTCGTCGCTTTCTGCCTCGAACTTTTCTTGAGTGACAGCGAGGCGCTTGTTCAACTTGGCACCACGGTGAGCGATGTTGTTTTCATGAATGGCTTGGTCTGCATCGATCCTAACTTTCTCCGCATAATACTCATGTGAATAGATATGCATCTTCTTGGGTGCATGTGTACCACTCAGTCCTACCCCACCTGCCAACACCGCGTCAAATTTGAGCAGCCCCTTTGCCCCACTGGTACGGCTCAAACACGACACATTAGTCTGCCACTGGTACCAACTCGTGATTTGCTGCGATGGGTTTAATTCGTGTTTGATGCGTATTGTATAATACGCTTACCTTTTGTCGTTTACTGACCGCCGCTTTTAAGAGGCTTTCTTGTTCTTCTGTCAGTCCTTGATCAGCTGGCACCTGCGCAAGGATGATACTGCGCTCTGGCCAACGCTCGAAGAACTCCCGCCAGACTTTTTTCAGTACTGGTCCGTAATTCCTGTTGAACATGCATTCACGGTACTCAGGGAGGAATCTCTCCAGAAATTCTATCTGTTCTTTTGTCGCCCACATGCCTATCTAATCACTGGTGAGTCCAAATGCATTGTGACTTAGTAGTGCCGGCACTTACATTCAATAATCAGAGCTAACAGCAGGTAACGGAAGTTATGGTGAATGCGAGGGCCAAGGGTTTACTGTGCTGTATCACGCTCTAGTCTTTCACTCTAGTTTCTTATATCGTGTACAATTTAATTTGTTCTTTGCATGATCTGCATGTCACCAATGTTACAAGAAGTATTCTATTGTGATTGTGTAAACACTATTCTAAGAAAGATCAACCACGGGCCTTGGGACATCTGGGATACTGCCTCGACGATGGGGTGTAATATAGCTTTATATCCTGCGAGCGTGCACGAGTAAGTACGTATATGTCAATACCACAGGGAGGGACAACTAACCTTGCAACGTTTTCACACTGCAATGCCCACAGCAGTCACCTGCATTGGAGTAAGTTTATGGAACGGTGTACCAGGAAACAGAACTTTTTCTTCAGGCCAACGCGCAAACCAACGCGAGAAGAGTGCACTGAAGAAATAAAGATGTTGAGAGGGATCATGTATTGCGAAGAATTCATCCGAGCGAGACAGAAGGAATTGCTCCTGGATCTGTCGGAGGGGAAGACGCTTGGTTGGTAAGGGCTGTTTGTCTTGGATTTAGCAGTGATGCGTACAAGGACTGTATTACTCACTGGCACAGACATTACTTGAAATATGTTGGGGTGTGAAGCTGCCCGACACCTATTTATTGCAGTTTAAGCAAATGCTTCGAAGAAGTTCAGCACATTTTGAGTAATTGTGACGTGATGGTGATTTAAACAAGTACGAACATGCAACTCTCGATACCATTATATTTGAAGTGGCGTCACAAGTATTGGAATAGTAATGATCCTCGGCTGAATTTTGTAAGCATCTCCACATCTATCTCGCTTACGGCTGCATAACACCAGAGCTCTTCGGTGGCAGCAGTCACCAATTTGCATCAATAGGACAAATTGCTGAGACGCTCCGTGATTGCAGCGGAGAAACGAGACTTCCCCCCATGGCATAACTGTACATATTCCTGAATAGACTCAAGTACTTCCAGGCGAACTGAAAGCATTGCAAGGACAATCTGTTGGTCCCCGGGGCCCCGAATCATTTGCGTGTATAGTGTGTTGAATATCGAACAGATCAGTAGGCTTGCCTCAGCGTCATCGACATTACAACTATGAGAACACAAGGTGTTCAGTATATCACATTGCTCAGAATTGATGTGGACATACATTACAGGGCGTGAAAGTTTCGTGACATGAATGTTGGTTAAGCAGCTGAAAAGAGCATGGTTGAGTCGTGGGCAAGCTGTAAAATGACAGTAATCAAGACTCACGATAACTTTGGCGGAGTTTGCATGTGTCGTCCTGAGGCGGAGGATGAGTCATGATGTGGAGGACTAGATATTTGTGTGCGTTGGAGGATTGATACGGAATCAGCTTGATTTCTGTGACCAAAAGCTTGTTGAACGTACCTGGAAATATCTATGCCAGATGCCCCACCAGAGTCCATGATTTGGCTGGCCATCTTTTTGGCTTGGTACTTGGCTGCCATTTTGACGCTGATTTCCTCTTTCTTCCTGTATACACGGGTCAGTGCTGCCCGGCTCAGATATTTTAGCAATGCCAGACCTTTCATAGTACATCCTTCTGTAAACTCGAGCTGCATTTTTCTTCTCCTCAGGTGTGTTGTAGATGAGTGGATGCACCATCGTGCACTGTATGTGATAGTAAGTGAGGGACAACTTGAATGTTCAAGTTAGTACACCGTAATGTGACACAGATGCAAAGCCAAACACTGGCATGAGCAACTTCAAGTGAATTTGCTAGCACTCATGTCTTCACTCGCTGTTGCATCTCGCTGCTTCAAGTTTGTTCTTCCCATCCTTAGATATAGTTCTTAGTTTCTTAGTAATTAAACTATAGTCATTCTACTAGAATACAGCTGGTTTCAGGAAACACGCCACAGGACAAAGTATTTATAGGAGATTTTGGTTTAGAATAACTCATACGACATATAAACGAGGTCGTTCTAATAAAATACATGGTAGGATACTCCCGTCACATTCAGCAATCATAGACTTCATACATATGATACTCAGCTTTGAGGTGTGTTGAGCTTGCAACACGACTTTAGCAGGATTTGGGTCAGATGATTGATTGAGGCAACGTTCTCAGACTGTCTATCTCAGAGTTCAACGTTCAACGTTCAATATTAATGTTCAACTGTACACGCGTGATCATTATATTGATTGATGTTTCATTGCTATCAAACAACCGGTTTCAATGTCATTTCTGCCATGATATGTCAGGATTGCAGTCTATACCATGTTCTGTTATCAATTTCTGATATATGCTACAGTGTCTTGTCTACTACAAAGTGAGTGCTTGTCTACTCTCCCGGCCGCACTGTCGAACCATTATGGAAACCTTCTAGACAAGCAGGGAGAAGTTTATATTTGAAGTGTTCAGAATTTCTTATTGATTTCCTGATACGAGCATCCAGAATGTCAAAATGATTCACCAGCCGTGAGAAGTATTCATACATGGTACATATGTCTACAGATCGAGCAAGAAATGCTACTCATTCGATTACTTCGGTATCCCCACAGTCAATTGCTTCCTCAATCAATCTAATCCCCTGAGCAACAGTGCGAACTCTGGAATAGAATGAACGGCTCACCCTGGTCACATAACTAGATGTCTGTTGCCTGTAATACTAATCAGTAGACAGTCTTGAAGTCAAAGTACCACTCACCAAGTTGCAACAACACCAATGCGACGCCCACAGCTGATCCAGTAGAAAGGACCGACATAATTGGGCTCAGGAATGATGTATATCACCCCGTGATGAGTCCGCGTGTAAGTTGCAGCAGTAACAACCGGGGGTGCAGTAACCAGTGGTGGGGTGGAAGCAATTGCAGTAGTTGCCAGTGTGGTGGCCATGAGTGGAATGGTATGAGGAGTGATGACGGATGGTGCAGTGGCCACAGGTGGAATGGTAGCAGCAGGAGCTGCAATAGTGACTCCTTGAGCAGCAGTAGCCACTTCCTGAATAGCAGCAACGACTGCGTTCTGTACGACCCCCTGCAGGACAGAGGTTAATGAGGCAGCATCGTTGCTGCTGATGTTCAATTGTGTGAACAGTGCCGCTATAGAATCTAAACCAGCCATTAGAAGAGGCAGAATAACCAAGGGATTGACACACCACCACTGGAAGGACCGACAATGGACGCCACAGGCACACGGCTATTAGTGCTGGAGGTCACTGTTGAGTGGGTCACAACATTAGAAGAGTCAGAAAAACCAAGGGATTTACGCACTGCCATTGGACGCTGCAGGCACTTGACTATTAGAGGAGGTCATTGTTGAGTGGGTCATGATATCGAGTGTTAGAAACTTGCAACTCACCTGCATTATTATATACACATAGCTACGCAAATTTGCAAGTTCCTTGCGCATCAAGTACATAATCTGCGGAGTATGAAACATAATTACCTATTTTGTACAATATTCATCCAGCCATCATGTAAGTAGACACACAGAGCCGCTGTGTTCTTCAGCTACTCGACTATTTAGGTCATCACCCTCGAGCCGCCGAGCAGAACTTTGCTTCTGACGACCTTCTCAGCGATTCACCACTATAGTCAACAACCTCAGCAGTAATGAAGTGCAGGCTTTGTTATTCAGGCTACTCGACTATTCAGGCCATCACCCTTGAGCCGCCGAGCAGAATTTGGCTTCTGACGCCCTTCTCGGTGATTCACCACTGTATTTAACACCCCCAGCAGTGACAAGGTACGTAGAGAACTATAGCTATGTTCATATTCATTGACAACACACCTTCCACTGCAGTATGCCCTGAGATCACCGCCATTCATGAGCACACTGCTGCTTTCCTTCCTGCTGCCCAAGCAATGGCTGATGAATGTTTTCTCCATCATTACTTGGGGGTATATTATAACATCCCAGCATGTAGCAAGCAACCCCCTTGGAACCCACCTTTCTATTGTGTCACCCACGGCCATGTAGTAGGTGTTTTACCCAGCTGGTGAGTACCCTAGTTGTTAGATGGATTATATATATATATATCTACTCTAGGGAGCACGCTCTAAATGCCGTTCTTGGCATCCCCGATTTCAAGTACGAGGAAGTTGACACTATTGCCATTGGTGAGGAAAAGGTTAGGCAGGCAATTGAGAAAGGCAAAATTGAAATTGTATAAGGGCATTAACACTAGTTACCATCGTCCCCTTCAGCTTCGTCCTGTATATACTATGCAGAGTAGTTAACCGATCTTTCTCTATATCCAACACCATCCATTTCAATTACAATGACCATTACTCAAGATTCCTCCATACAATCCGTCAACGAGATCAGAGTCTCCCTTGAAGATATCAAGATGAGATTTTTCAACGTGCTCAAGAATGTAATGTCATTGCAGCACTCGACACTGGCAGTGGAAAGACTTTCATCAGTATTTTGCTCATCAAATGGATCATGCTACAAGAGTGCTCGCAGCAAAGTCATCGTATTTCTGGTACCCAAGGTAGCTCTGGTCGAACAACAGGCCAACTTTATCACCACGCACACTCCTTTGGGAGTCAAAAGTTCAGTATTGCTTACATAATTGCACAATGATTCATCTAGTTTATCGTTTATACCGTTCGTTTATCTCCAAATAAGCAATAACAATATACAGTCTACACGGTGACACCTTGCAGCCCCCCTGACAGATGGATCCAAATATTCCTGAGGGTCCACGACCACCTCTGTCTTATCCTACTCAAGAAATACAGGTCAGGGACCTCAGGATTACATCCAGGCAGGCCAACAGCCGTCACAAACGCACATGCTTAAATTCATATATTCCACTAGCCAGCTCTCAACCTTCTGTCTACTACACGTCTGTAACATTCTCCTTGCGCCGCGAAGGCGGAATAACAGCCTCCCGCCGGCACATTCTATGCGCATCACAATCACAATCTAATTCTCACCCTGAATCTGACGGACAAGTTTCTGAAGGCATCAGTTATGATGATGCTAATTTTGGGTACATGGATGGGCATGTAGATGCAATTGATGATGCCCCAGTCACATCGAAGCGAAAACGCACCACGGCTGTAAGTGTTGGCTGGTCATAATTTTGCTTCACTGATTTTATTTTCAGGATAACCCCCTTCTAGTGTGGTTAAGCGATCGTGATGAGTATCTGGCAGAAATGCTTCGGATGGATGGCAGAGGGGACTATACTTCAGATACTTGCTGCAAATGTGCCTCTGCTCCTGCTCTGTTCCGATGCGACGACTGTTGTGACATGCAGCTATACTGCGGAGACTGCACTGTTTGCAATCATTTGCAGAGCCCCACTCATCGCATCAAGGTTTGTCTTTATTCATTCTGAGTGCTTGAGTCGGGAGTTAATTTACTTTAGGAGTGGACGGGGTCATTTTTCATGGCTACATCACTCAAGAAGCTTGGTCTGAGGATCCAGCTGGGGCACACAATTGGTGAAAGCTGTATCCTGCCTCGCAAGTCATTCAACGACAACTTCCTACTCATCGATACAAATGGAATCCACGAGATGGCGGTCGACTTTTGTGCCTGTGAGACATCCCAGACTCATACAAAACAACTCTTGCGCATGGGATGGTTCCCCTCAACAACTGTGGATCCAAGGACGGCAGCAACCTTCCGGCTATTGCACCATTACCATATCTTGTCTTTTGAGTCCAAGGCATCCGCATATGAATTCTATCACTCGCTTGTCCGTATATCTGACAATGTTGGTTTAATTAAGAAGGTTGGCGTTTTGCTGGGTTGATCTTACATGGACTAAACTAACTCTAATTCAGGATCGCTATGAATCCTTCATGCGTATGGTTTGCGAGTGGCGACACCTGAAACTGTTGAAACATTTTGGTCGCGGTCACGATCCTGTCAGTGTGAGTGGTACCAAAGAGGGCGAATGCGCTGTGCTCTGTCCGGCTTGCCCACAGCCTGGCAAAAATATGCCCCCTGACTGGAAAGAGGCGCCAAAATCCAAACAGTGAGCCTCTTGTCATTTTCAAACATAAAGCAACGCACTAATCGTACATAGATGGCTGTATTCGTTGTTCGTGGCTATCGACGCCAATTTTTGATTGAAAAGACGGGATATATCCTGTGATGAAGCGGACCCAAGTCTCTCAAAGGGATGGTCATACTTTGTGGAAGAGGAGAAGTTCAAGTCCCATCTCAAGGAGCATTTGTCCGAGACACAGGAGGTATGTAAACAGTCTGGTCCAAGATGTCGCTAACAGTACCTTCCCAGAAAAGTTCCTGCTCGAACCATAATGCTGTGAATATGGCTGAGACAAAGCTATCACAGGGCCTTGCAGCTACTGGAGTAGGGACAGTCGATTGCACGTAGGGAACTGCATGGGTATACCCCCGGGTTTTTGGCGGGTTTTGAGTATTTGGGATGGTAGCCCTTTATTCTGCGACAAAAACAAAAAAAAGTTTATGCAAAATGATCCAGGATTGGCTGAGATATTGCTAGTCCAACAACTCAGGCTAAATCTTCAAAGCTCATCCCTCCACATATCAATCTTTGCAGGTGGGTACTCAAAATGTCAAAAAACTCACAAAATCATGACTTGCTTGCAAAGATTGATGTGTGGAGGGATGAGCTTTGAAGATTTAGCCTGAGTTGTTGGACTAGCAATATCTCAGCCAATCCTGGATCATTTTGCATAAACTTTTTTTTGTTTTTGTCGCAGAATAAAGGGCTACCATCCCAAATACTCAAAACCCGCCAAAAACCCGGGGGTATACCCATGCAGTTCCCTAATTGCGCGCGACATAACTTCAAGCGCCCGAATGGCGTTGGGGACCTACAAAAAGGGGAAAAGTGCGTGTGTCACTTGTGAAGCTGCTTTGACTAATTCAATTTTCAGGTACATGAACATGGACTACCTGTTTTTCTCCACACTTCGCAACAACTGTCTCGACGTTCTGAACGTATCGTATGACATTGCGTGTCAATGGCACAAGAATCTATGGAGTCGCATGGAGTCGCTACCCGAGTCACACCATATATCCTATTTGCGCATTTTTATTTGGTTCTTCATCCCCAAGTTCCACCTTCCAGCACATATCAAGAAGTGTCAGACAATGTTCTTTTTCAATTTCATGCGTTTTGTGGGTCGTACAGATGGGGAGGCGCCCAAGCGTGGTTGGTCCAACATAAATCCAGTCGCATCAAGTACAAAGGCAATGGGACCCGGCTGTCGTAGGGACACATTAGACGATCATTTTGGGGATTGGAACTGGAAAAAAGTCGTTGGCTTAGGTATGTGATTTACGCTCACTCATTATTCTTGTTTGGTTAATAATTATGGGGTCAGGCGCATATCTCATCCATAAAATGCAGGAAGCTGTCATTGAGAAGGCTGATCACGAGGCTGCGTTCCAGGAGTTCAATGCTGCGATTTCCTCCGACCACAGGTCAGCATGGACAGTGGAGATGGAGAAATGGGAGGAAAACCCCAATGACACATCAGTCACTAACCCCCTCGAGTCCAAGTCAATCCGTAAGCTTTATTTTACTATTCAAATTATATCTACTGAAGCGTCTATTATCCAGAAATCATGCAAGCTGCAGCCCGTCTGAAACTTGCGGAGATGGAAGCTGAAGAACTCGCTTGTGGGATTGACCTATCTCTGCACCCTGACATCTCACCAAGTGTACTTATCGCGTCGGGATTAGACCTCGAAGAGGAAGAGTAAGTGGCTTTACCTAAACGCTACCAGGTGAAGACAACTAACACCTGGGACAGACGTCGTGTGAGAGCAGTATCCGAAGGAATGGGTCTCCACATTTCCGATATACAGAAAGGCACACTTGCGCGAATGAGGAATGTCCTGCATCATAAGATCGAAACGTGGAGAAGTGCACAGGTTCTGTACATACCTGTGGTACAGATTCTCACTACTACTGTGGTTTCTGACCCTCATCAGCCGTTTGAGAATGCTGAGGATATCCGCCTGTGGTTGCCATCTAGTCTGAAAGGCAAACCATGTGATCCCCAACTTCAAGCTTACGAATGGGATTTGCGGTATGCCCAGGCCCATGATGCACTCGAAGAGCTTCGACAGTGCCTTCGTGTGCGCTGTTCTATGCTTACATTCAAGCGGGAGTGGGTTCGTGGTCAAGGCTCCAACACTCGTGCTCAGAATGCACTTGCTCGTGTGCACGGGCGACAAGTGGCATGTACGAAGAGATACAGGGTTGTGTGGGAGGCGCTGAAGACCCTGGCACCCCTCTTGAAGAAAGTGGGATGGCGAGGACGGCTGCAAGACCTGAAGGATGAAGACATGAAACCATTAGTGGACCCTTTCAGCAGAGAGACCGAAGGCCGCCACCACCTGACGTGGATCTGGATGATGACGGGTGTAGATACAGGTAGCGATGGGGGCGACGTGGATGGTTAGTTTTTGTTTGATTTTATAAGCTGTTACTGACAATGGTCTCTGAATCTTCTGCTAGGAGTTCGCGTGGAATGGTGCAAGTCCAGAGCAAGAGCAATGCGCTGGGTGGAGGAGATAGAATTGTTACAGGAAGAGATGTGAAGGGTGCTACAGTTTTTCAATTGGCAAGCCAACTGGTGGGACGAGCAGCAGGACCAGCTCGTCTGTGAGACAGCAGCTCAATGTGAGGGCTTGGTAGCATATGCTAACAAACAGGCACACATCCGACGTCAGCTCGCATCGCACTTTAGAGTGCTGTGGACCCCCTACCTTCCCCAGCTATCCCCTCCGACCTCGAGCCTCATATCAACCGCCGTACCATCACCGGACAACATGCAATTCCCCAACCTCATGCTACCTGTTTCATGTGCCTAGTGTAGTCAACCTTCTGTAGTGTAATTAATCTTCTATTGTGCCTAGCACTTCGTCGCAATGAACAGTCTTGATATTTTAGTTGCCAGGGAATAAAAATATGTAGTTGCTGAAGAATGAGAATATATAATTGCCGGATGATAGGAACACTACATATACAGACAGCTAGTGTACTGAGGGGCCGGGCTACTACTAGGGAGGCAGCTCTGATGGTTAGCACATTCTGATGCATTATAGACAGGCTAACAAGCATTGTTAATGCAATACAGTTGTGTGGTAAGTACCAGATATAATGCATTATGCCTACAGGGACTTGTGTTCTGACTTCGAGTCTGAGTGATGCGTGCAAATGGATGATAATTTCGATAGTGGGAAAAGAAGCTACATGAAAATTCCTAAGTCTAAAGTATATATCGTAGCACTGTTCAGAACCGAGAAGATAACGGTAATACATATTAAGGGTCTATAATGCAAGTAACGAAACATACGCGATATCACTTCTGAAATATAATCAGTCTAACGCGAATGAGATAAAATATGCATCAATGGACAAGCAGAGGACATGGATAGGACGGAGTAGGATGCGCGACGGAACCGATGAAAAGCGGATGCGAACCGAAGCGCGTGCGTGCGCCACGGCTGTCGGCCAACGATAGGAAGGATGTGTGCCGTGGTAGTGATAGCGCGCGCTGCACTAGGACCTGAGGGACACTGCAAAAATAGCCTCTACGAGGCTACAAGGACTACAAGCCCTACAACAGACTGGGGAAAGAGGGTGAACACGAGGATTCGGTCATATATAGTAGTGGTAACATTCCAAACATTCAATCTCCAGCTTCGCGTCGACATCCAAGTTCCAACACTGAGGTGTGTGTATATATGGTTGGTCAGTGATGTGATATAAATTGTTCGTTTGGACGTGAAATGGCAAGATTGTGGTTTCGCGGGTTGTGGGAAAATGGAGTCGGGGACTCGGCGCGTAGGCGCCGTTACGCATGAAATTAATTGCATGCCATTTCAGTGGAATTTACTCTGAAACATTCAGCATCAGCGCATTTTGCAGTGATTTTCATTGAAACTACTATCTACAGTGTCAGCTGGTGTGCTTTCAAATTGTTGTTTCCTCGACAATGCCAACTATATTCCCATGTGAAGCGGTCAGCAGATATACGAAGATTGTTGTGATGCTGTATTATATATTGCTTTAAATGACCCTTCTCATTTGTTCATCGGTTCTCTGATGCTCCAATGCAATCATGGTCCGCAATATCATATAAGCGTCGAATGGTTCTCAGGCATATAGACGCGTGTCCATCCTTTCCTGCATGGCACCTCCTACAGGAACTACTGGTGAGCACTGAACACAGGTTCACCTCGATGTCTGGACAGGATTGATTGAACGAAATGCAGGAACTCAACTCGGACGAAGGCAATGGGCCTTTGCGTTCGCTCTTGTGACGTCCTTATTTTTTACTTGTGAGTCATAGGTCTCTTTGTGGTATTGGTACCGAAATAACGAAGTTGACGGCGAACTGCAGGGGGTTTTGCCGGTGGTGTATGAATTCCCTGCATTTGCAAATATATTCCTCCAGCTGATCGAACCTTCGATAACAGCTTCTTGAAGTACTCAACGCACACTTCCAGACCGTATTCGGGATCTCCAAGCTTCAGAGCACACTCTTAGAATTAGCATACTTTGTAAGTGTCTGGTCCTTGGTGATAGCGCGATCGTTCTCGCTAATCGCATGTTAGGGTGCCTATTTCGTGTGGGCACCGTTCGCGGGTATATTTGTGAGTCACATCAGTGTTTCCTTCAGAGAAATACTAATCAGAGCAGATGAGACGAGTAGGATACAAGGTGACTCTTAATCTGGAGATCCACAAACCAGATAACGAACAGCTTCCACTTATAGAAAGGCATTCATATCGGCCTTGGCTTGTACTCCATTGGTATTGGTGTCCTCATTCATAAAATATACAGACTTACCATCTCTTAGGTGCCGTATTCTTCTGGCCATCCGCGAAATACGAAACATATGGAGGGTTCGTCGGGAGTACATTCGTAATTGGTAATTCAACTTACAAGAGCTATATCACTATAGTACTAATATCTTATCCTACCTAGGTTGCGGCCTCTCAACACTCGAGGTCGCGGCTAACTCCTACATATCTGTGCTTGGCACGCCTCAGTATGCTGCCGCCCGTTTGAACTTCAGTCAAGGGTTCCAAGGCGTCCCATCCTTTGCTGGACCTTTGATCGCTTCACGCTGGTTTTTCACTGGTGCCAATGCGACCAGTCTTGGCACTGTGCAATGGTCTGCCTGATAGCTTTTGTGTAAGCACCGTACTAAACTTTTATTAGGGTCTATCTTGCAGTCGCTGGCCTCGGCATAGTACTTAATATACTATTTTTGTGAGACCAATTTTTGCATGACGGAACACCCGTCCTAACCTTCAACAGCTTCTGCAACCTACCTGAAATCACAGAAGATGCTTTGGCTGAAGAGATAGATGAGGTTGGCATCACAGATGGCCAAGGACCTTTCTGGAAGCAATATCGCTGTATCTTTGGGTTTGTTGCCCAGACCGCCTACGTGTGCGTTTTTCTGGTTCTCTCCGGCTTGTGTAGTGGGCCTTAAATATACCACAGCGGTGCACAAGTAACCATCGCCTCTTTCGCCGTCAACTTCCTCGTTGACCAAGGAGTTGGTATCGACCAGTCAAAGGCTAGCCAGCTCTTCTCGTTCTGCCAGGTCACATTCACCGTAGGACGGTGAGACATGACACGATATTCTACCTTCATCGACATTCTGAATTTAATGGCTTACAGATTTCTTGGTGTATTGATGCTCAACTTTATCGACCCTGCCTTATTGCTAGCCTTCTATGGATTTTGTTGTTCGTTGTTCTGCCTATTGGTCTCTCAGCTTCCTGGGTATAGCGCTGTCGCATGTCTCTTCTGTCTGTTCTTCTTCGAATCCATTTGCTATCCTGTACGTCTCTTCCTCTTTTTGAGCTACACCTCATTTATCGTGTACTTTCAGTGCATCTTCACCCTAGGCACTAAGAACCTCGGAGTGCACACAAAGCGGGGTTCTGGTCTTATTGTTATGGTGAGTCCTCTCGTGTTCTGGCTGTCGTCGATTCGAGGTTCTCACTAAACTCAGGGTGTTGGGGGAGGGGCTTGGTACCCACCTGCACAAGGTGCCCTCGCTGACGCAACAAATACCCGTCACTCGTATCTTGTCCCAGTGTCAGGTTACATCGTCATGACCATTTACGCTGTGTAAGACCCAGCATTTTACAAGTTTGCATTGTTCTCAACTATATACAGCGGCCTTGTTGTCGACCAATCGAGGAAGAACGGATTCTCATTCCGCAACCGCGATGAGCTTACCGACAACTTGAAGCATACTCCTGATGACTCCTCTCCAACCGAGTCGCTCCCTGGTGATGCGAAAGGACGCTCGAGCAGTGAAAAGAAGGTGTTCAGTGACGAATTAGTTGGGGTTGCATGAAAATACACTCACAAGAAGCACGAATACCATGGCCTCCTCGATCCGTACAAGCATCCACTACCCCGCAGATATTATTAAATATCCATGTATATAACGATACCACTACCATCCGGTGAGTATCTATGACGGATACCTGAATGACGTGAGTTTGTATGATATTCATCGCCGATGCCTTGAACCGCTACATGATCTACGATTTACTCGAATATTGTCGCTCGAATTGACAGAAAACCCCTACCTTTAGAGTGTATGTGAGCTTCATGGCCTTTGATACGGGCGGATACGTATTTCCCGCAGTTCCAGTATTATGACTTTGTGGAACATCCTCAGGCTCGCTGCATTCAAATTATCTCCTGACACGACCCATATCGTAGTAGACTCGGAAGCTGAGATGTCACGGTACTAGTACAACTCGAGCCTTCAAAATGTCGCTAACTCTGTTTTCGGTCTATGTTATCATTTGTTTAAATTGTTTTACATCGAGGGCTTTGCATCATGTGACTCATGGACCATAATTTGTTTGGCAAGAGCCTCTAATCCAAACAAAATCCTTGAAGCAATCGACGTGACGACTTGGAGTTTGACTTCGGTTTAAATAATGCTACTGCAATGGTGCACACTCAGTCCTGCAGGCCCATCCAAGCTCTCTGCTATCAGATTCTCGTCACCAAGCAGAGTGCATTCGATCAAGATATTTCCCACAGACGTGCAGCCCTTTGGTCAGTGTCCAAACATCATCGCGTAAGTGCAACTATTCCTGATCATGCTGCGTGACATAGAGATAACCATATAGTCAGCCGCACAGAACCAGAAGCGTTCTTTCTTGATGTATATTTCAATGCCTACCCCGTGGGCTCACCGGTAGACGCGAAGCAAAAGCTCAAGGCACCTAATGCACTCATGCCAACCGTCATCCCATACGCAGGCGGTATAGTGGAATATGCAGTGAACATGGGCTCTGAGGTATTTTGAATGCCACTTATATATTGTCTTTTCCAACTTAATTCTCAGTTCGCGACTCGTTTAATGATTGTACGTGGAGACTTTGAAACAGTATCAATGGCAATATACGGCGATGTCGTTTCAGATAGCCCACCCAAGTCAACTACTTACTCTCCCCTCTCGCTACCCACCCATTCCTCTGTTCCCCTCGTGCCTGCCTTAGATGCTGCAAAGAGCAACGACCCAACCGCTCTTGCGAGGAATCTGCTG